TCTTTTGGTGGAAAATCCCTTTGCTCTGAGATAACTCTAGCAAGCATCAATCTAGCAGTGTCACTCGGCCTTCCCTTAGGAGACTCAGAGGCCACAGATCCCTGCCGTGTCCTGTAGCTGAGAAGCAGCAGGGCCTCTCTTCGTCCCAGGACTGCTGGTCCAACTCAGCAGGATGAGTCCCACAACTAACCTGAGAGCGGGGGCAGAAAGGTCTTCCGGCCCGGACTCGGTACTTGAATCCGTCAGGAAAGTCGGTCTCCTAAAGTTTGCACTATGCCAGGTTGTCCTCCGCCTCAGGCTTTTCAGAGCTCCTAGACACCTCTACTCCTGGCCTTCCTTGACCGTGCCAGGAAAGAGGTGCCACTTGCTGCTTTCCTTCCCAGCCCCCAGGGGGTCAGTGAACAAAGGCAGGGATGGGCGGGCGATTGCCTCCCCACTGCTTGGAGTCCTCAGGGACTTAGGAGCCTCTGAAATATACCTCTAGGACATGCCTTATGGAGGTGTGAACCCCCCAAACATGGAAAATGTTTTTGGAGGCCAAAAAAATTAGACAAAATTGCACAGTGAGGGAAGGAGTCAGCAATCATAATTCAATGTTGTAGTAAAAAGACGACAGGAGGAAACTGCCAACTATGCTACATACTCCTGTCGTCAGACCCACGCAGAATGGTTGCTTGGGGTTCCGAACTTCAAGGCATTGACTTGAGCAAGTTGTTAACAAAAACCTATACAATACCTCCCAAATCAAGGGTCTTCAGGTAAAGCTTCGTAACTGCCTACGCTCCCTGGGTTCTGGGCAATCTTATTCTCTTCTTAACTGAAAGACAGCATCCCACATGAAGGACACCGCGTGTCTTCAGCTTTCCCCTCTATTCCAAGTGCTTAGCACAGTATTTGAAACATAACACCCATCAGTAATGTGTTGAATAAATATGATATACATGAAATTCAAGTTTATAAGAACAACAAAAATTAAGAGGTAATTACTTGCTTTGCCAAAAATATTTACAATAAGAGTGCTTTGACGAGCGAACAATCATTGTACATGCAAGCTGATCCCCATGTTTTAACATTCCGTTTGTGCCCAACTTTTCTAATCAAGCATCCATTGTATGATGTGACTAATCCACATGCCACACAGCTCCTTCACCTAAAAATAAAATGAAAAAGGAATGTTCTTCTCTATAGAAAAATGACAACTCTTTTTTAAAAATATATTTTTTTTATTTATTTCAGAGAGAAAGGGAGAGATAGAAACATCAATGATGAGAGAGAACCACTGATCTGCTGCCTCCTGCATCCTACTGGGGATGTGCCCTGACGGGGAATCGAACCCGTGACCTCCTGGTTCACCACTGAGCCATGCTGGCCGAGCATGACAACTCTTTATGAAAAAGAAATGACAGCATGAGGAGGTGAGCATTTCCAAAGCCCCCAACATAACTCCTTCAGCCAAGGAGCTTCGCGGGGGAACTAAATCTGTGGTCAAAAACTGGGAGCAGGATGTTCCCAAGGTGCCAATTCAGATCACACCTCCTTCCACAGATTTCTGATTGCAAAAGAAATAATGTATCTCATCTCTGGAGAGTTCCAGAAATTCTGGAAATGTATCTTGGCAATGGAAAGTTCTGAAATTGTTTTCTAAAAGTATCTTTACAACAAAAACTCTGGAAGTGACTTTAAAATATGTATCTTTATAATGAAAAGTCTGGACGTGATCAAAATGTATCTTTAAAATGAAGAATTTGGGAAATAACCAAATTTAGTATCACGAGTGGGGCATTATTATAACTGATACTATGCACCTCTTGAAATGATTCATAGGAAATAATGTTTAACCTAAATTTCACTGTCTCTAGAACACACTGTCCAATAGAAATATGCCAGTCTCATATGCAACTTTTCTAGTTTTAAAAGTAATTTTAATATATTTGACCCAATTTATTCAAAATATTATTTCAGCATGTAATCAATCTAAAAGAAAATTATTATTGAGATAGTTTGTATTCTCTCTGTCATACAAAGGCTTTGAAACTGGAAGTGTGGTCTACACTCTTACAGAACACCTCAATTCAGACTAGTCACATTTCTTTCTTTTTTTTTAATACATATTTTTATTGATTTCAGAGAGGAAAGGAGAGGGAGAGAGATAGAAACATCAAATGATGAGAGAGAATCACTGATGGGCTGCCTCCTACACGCCCCACACTGGGGATGTGCCCTAACCGGGAATGAAACCCATGACCGCCTGGTTCATAGGTCGACGTTCAACCACTGAGCCATACTGGCCGGGCCAGACTAGCCACATTTCAAATGTGCTCTAGACACATGGTTAGTGGCTAAATCACTGGACAGCACAGCTCTAGCCAAACTCCCAGCAAAACAAGAAAGAGAGGAATAAACGACCACCTCCTACTCCCCAGTGGAAGCGCAGTAGTCCCTTCTTTGTCACATTCTGCAAGCCCTTCGGAGCAAGGATCATGCCCCATCCTGAGCACAGCAACAGGCAATTAGGAAACTTAATTGATGCTGCAAGGCTTGGGTGGCATCTGAATATTTTCTAATACAGACGTGAAGTTATGTTCAAAGATATTAAGGAAACGGTTCAACAAAGTATCAACTAACATTGAAACTACCAGAGCCAGGCACATAGATATCTAACAAGTAGGCATTAGGTTTTGGACACAACTTCCACACACTCCAGAAGACATGAAGGCACGTATGATCTCATTCCCACTTCAAAAAAGTGATTCACCAGAGAATTAAATCCAACTTTTCATTTGTCCCTGGATCCTAAGAATCTTTATAATAAGGTCCAATTTACCTACCTGTTTCTAATTTTTCCCCTTCATTCCTCCAAGATAAGCATTCCATTTCTGGCGTCATCTTCCAAGCAATCCACGCATGTGTTCTCACCTGCTAGCCCCTATCCACACGTAGATCTAAAAGCGAGGAATGTGGCCCTGCCCTGTGTCACTGCTGCTCCAGTCCTGCTCACCCTTCATGTCCCACCTCATCTGAGAAGTCTTACCTGACTCTGGCCCATGCACACGCCCCCCTCCTCAGATCGAAAAGCCCTGACAATAGGCCGTGGCCAAATCCGCTCCTGTGTGCCGGTGTGCCTCCCTGTTCAGTAAGAGTGCTGCAATGGGCTGGGAAGACAGGCCAGGGCTCTCATGCAGCTCTGCTCGAGGGTACAGGAGACCTTGAGCAGGTCACTCTCCATCCTTAGCCCTGTTTTCTTAGGTGGCCTCTTTGCTATTCCTTCAGCACACCAGCTACATGCTCCTGCCTCGCCGCCTTTACACCTGCTGTCCCCTCTGCCCATGTGCACTCATCCATGGACCTACAAGCCCACGTCTAGCAATTTAGTCTTAAAATACACTCCACAAATACAAAACCACACCTAACCACTAGTGTTACTCTCTATATCTTTCTGTACAGATCCTATAAAACATCAAAATCTTGGAAGCAACCTAAGCACCCAACCATAGGAGACTGCGTGAATAAATTATGATACATCTTTCCAATTATATTTCACAAGGGGGGAGGGGAGGAGAGCAGAAGGAGAAGGAACATCTCCATGAACTAAACTGAGAAAATGTCCAGGCTATGTTGTCAACTTAAGAAATCAAGATGTAAAATAATTATAAACAACATGCTACGTTTTGCATGAGAAAGGAGAAATTAAAGCACACACAAATATTTTCAGAAAAAGAAACACGGGAAAGATAATTCAGAAACTAATGAAAATGGCTAGCTAAAGAGGGTGGGAATGTAGTGCAAGAGAGTAAAATTCTCTGGATGAACATAGTTTGACTTTAAAACGGTGTACATATTTCACATATTCAAAAAAGAAAAAGAAAAAACAAACTAAAAAATTGAATAAAAATAGAAACGAATGACTAACTCGATACTAAAACCTCAAGTAAAGAATTCATTCAAGTAACATTTGAACATAATGCTGACTTTGTTTTAAAGACAAAAAATTGCAAAAAAAAAATGTTAAAAGAAAATAAAGTTACCAAAGGTTAAAAGTAAAAAGATGGTCAAAGATATTCCACATGAACACTAACCCAATAAAAACTAGTGTTATTATGTCAATGTCAGGCAAAGTAGCCTTTAGGCAAAACATATTTCTAAAAATACAGAAGTATTTCCTAATTAGAAAAAGTTCAACTTACCAAGAACAACAACAAAATCTAAATTTATATGTGCCTGGTAACACAGTATAAAAATATAAAACAAAAACTATCTGAACTAGTAGGAAAAATAAGTAAATCCATGGACATGAGAGATTTTACTTTTCGTATACCTCTAAAAAAAACAAGTCAACTGATAAACAAAACAGTGCGATACGGAGTTGAACAGTTCCATCGGCAACTATGACCTAAGGCACATAGTCAGAACTCCACAATCTCAGAACGGACGTTCTTTTTAAACTCACATGGGACATGTATAAAAACTGGATCATATATTGGCCGGAAATTTGTCTTTTTAGAAGGAGGCATTAGGCAGGCTTCAGCGTGCTGGCATTGTGCTATTCTTTGATTATAAAGATTTTTGCTTTGTTGATAAACTGTTTTGCTGTTGTTCATTTTGTGTGTGTATTTTACATGTTTTGTGTGTGTACTATGTATCTTATTGCTCACTTTTTGTGTGTGTGCATTACATTTCACAGTTTAAAAAGAGTTAAAATCCTTTAGAAAGGAACGAGTCTCCTAACAATGCGATAAGCCCAATGCAACCTGTTTTCCCTCCAGCATTTCAATTGCTGTGTTTTTAGTGGAGCACCAGGTGAAGTAATGGCTTATGCTTAGAGGCTTCTGTGCACAACACCTATGTGCCTTTCAACACAAAAAGCATATTCAGTCCAGCAAGATGCTCATTCTGAGAGACACGCAGGAATTGACACTGAGGGAACTGAGCAGCCATGAATCCCAACTCACATTTAATCCAAGGCAGCCAAGGTTCACAGGCTTATTTAGTAATGCAGGCACAGCCACTCACAATAGTACAATTATTTCCTTTCTCCTTTTCCCCCCCAAGGTCACAGTTCAATTGTCTTCAGTTAAACATAAGTGGGCTTGTATAGGCACCAGGAAAACCTACTTTGATATGGGGAATAACTTGGGCTATGCAGACTGAGGGAGCAGCAAAAGGATCTAAAGGAGGGCAAACCACAAAGCAGTTGCCCCAAAGGAACCAATACCAATGACATGGTTATAGCCTACAGTAACCTTAAGCCATACACCCTGGGTAGTTGTTGTTATCATTATTCATCACTAGCACTTACTGAAAGCTCATCACCATCTCAGTGACATTACGGAAAGCTTACCACTTGCCAGGCACTACACTGTATATATGATTTTCCTAGATGGTTATCATCTCAACATCTCTCAATAAGCCTAGAAAGTAGGTACATTATTAGTTCTATTTTATAGGTGGAGAAACGGGCTGAGGAACTGGCTGACATCACCCACGTGGCAAATGGAAGGCACGGGAATCTAACCTAGCTAGCTGACTTCGGCCCCAATCCTCCTACCTGCTATGCTACAGTGCCTGCCCAGATAGAGGATGTTTGCACGTGATCGCTAAGGGCTTTGTCGGCTCTAACACTCTATCATTTGCTTTAATGAATCTATGACAGAGCATTCAACTAGGCCCAGAAATCTCAAACTGCACACAGCAAAATAAAGCAGCTCAATAAAATCTCTACATGACCCGGAAGTTAGCATTCAGGCTCCTTAGGTTATCAGAACTGGTCTTTCCCATATTGAACCCTTCAAGAAACGAAAATGTTTCTCTCCCCTGCCAGTCGATACCTAATCTTCCTCATTATGAAGACAGATGGCACAGACAGTATCGAAAGGCATTACAGCAATATAAAAAAAAACAAATTTGCAATACAGTTGACATGGTCTTTAAACACAACTGGACCCAAGACAAATTTGATAAATGCAATTTTCTGGGGGGAAAATATCCCCCTTTAAAAAGTGCCTAAATTTAGTGTAGCTGAAATAAACTGCTTATAAACTATTAACATTAGCCTTGGAAAAACAGTATTGGTGGTAAACTGAATATATTAAAGCTAAAAATTTCTTATAAATATAAGACCTTTTTGTTCTTTACACAGAATACTTAGTGGTCACAGTCAGGTCAAAATATTCTTATTTGTTCTTTTAAATAATCATCAGAGTTCCTTTCTTTAAAAAGCAAAACTAGCTAAACCTACTTTTTTTTCTTTAAAGAAGAAACAGCTAACTCCGTAATTGATATAATATAAAAAGTTGTCAAATACTCCTTAGCCTTTATAAGTATGAAGCACACCTCATAAAAGATGCCGACACTTCTGTGCTAATGTGAAAGACTAGAAGCTTCTGGGGATTAGGAATAATTTGTTTTTGTTTGTTTATTTTTAAGTATAATATAAACTATTTCTCTTAGAGGTCCCAAGAAGGAAAAAAAATTTATTAGGTCCAGGAATCAAAAATGAGTTGGTATAATTATGGTTACAAGCAGAATTGGATGGCTAGAAATGAAATCTATTTAGGCCCAGCCTAAGGGTCTCACAGCCAATCTGTAGGCACAAAGTAGAAGTAGCCCCGGAGAACAGGGCAAATCTCCCATCTGCGTGAGTTCAGTGAACCAGGTAGACCATTGTGTCACCAATATCCGCCCGCAGCCCGTTTTCAGTAAGATGGACGTTCTTGCTCACGAGGTCCACGTGGAAGACAGCATGCTCAGAAATGGGCGTCTTCCCAGTCAGCTCTTTTCCCAGGACAGGAATTCGCCTCGGCCCCAACAGTGGATCATCAAATCTCATCAGCTTCACTTTGGAAAGATCTACAGGAAAAAAAGCATTTAAGTACAGTCACTGACTCAAACCCATGCCCTGATTCTGATAATTCACATTTTACACACGTTATATCTAAATCATCAGATTATTAAATAGGACCCAATCTCAGAAAGCAAAGCTAAATCTAACAAAACTTTAAACTCTGCCAGCTTTCACCCAGATCAAAGATTGTCAGCTTCTGTTAATACATGCCCTGGAATTATAAACCAACAGGGAGGGTTGAGTCTAATTTTGAGCATTATCCTATAGCAGTGATGGCGAACCTTTTGAGCTCGGCGTGTCAGCATTTTGAAAAACCCTAACTTAACTCTGGTGCCGTGTCACATATAGAAATTTTTTGATATTTGCAACCATAGTAAAACAAAGACTTATATTTTTGATATTTATTTTATATACTTAAATGCCATTTAACAAAGAAAAATCAACCAAAAAAATGAGTACGCGTGTCAGAGGTTCGCCATCACTGTCCTATAGGGTCTTTCAAATCACTTTGTATATGCTTCAATTGACTGTCCTTCAGAATATCAAAAAGTCCAAAACATTTCTCTTGTCTTGCTTCCTCGAATAGATTAAAACTGTAAGCGTTGTTGGGTTGGTTTTTTTTTAGAAGGTAGTTTTGGAAAAAAGAATTACTATTCTAATATGTATTACCAGTTTCTCGTTTTGCTCAAAGGAACGCACTTGTATTGACCAGCTGATGAGACCGGCAGAGAAGGGAAGGCCAGGGAAGGGCACAGGGCCTAGAAGTCCCAGCCTCTGAGTGAGCCCCACGCCTCCTCTGCTGGAGATGCCTGACCTGCTCTGTGCAAGCTGATACGGTGGCTTCTGGCAAAGAAAGCACTTGTCCCTTTATCACCTTTATGAGCCAACAATCCTGCCCACAATTAAGTCCGAAAAAAAATTATTTATTTCAGCAATTCTGAGACTTCACAACACCAAATGGTTTTATTTTATGTGGTGAAAAACATGCTAAATGACTGCGAGTGGTGATTCTAGGTTTACATCTCAAAGTGCAGCACAGCTAGTGATGTAGAACTTGATCCACAGGAACAGAAGATAGTTTCCAAAGTACTTCCCACCCTTTCTAAAGCAGAGCGCTGGGTGGTCCGTGAGCTACACTCCCAGTTATGTTGCTATGAGAGTATGAGGCCTAGTGAGAGAGGGATAAGAGATAAAAGGAGACACTAACGCAGCTGGCGGCTATGCCTGGAGTACAAGTTATCCAGGCATTCTCTTCTCCTTGGGAAACAAAGACTGAAGGGCTGTGGGTTTAGAGGAGGGATCTTGGGGCTTATAGAGCAATTACCTGCGACTACCACGGAGGTAAACCCTGCCTGAGAGTCTCTGCAGAGGCCACATAATCTATTGCCAGATGCAGCACAAGCCCTGAAAGTTAAAGCGGGAAAGGAGCAGACACAGCCTGCATGACAGCCCTGGTCTCATTTGGGGGGGGGGGGGGGGGACACACGCAATTTTAATGGCTACTGCAATTCAACATGCACATCAGTGGTGCCAAATTATTTTGCTAGGAAAGCAGTGACTAGTTCTGCCCACAGATTTTATGCGCAAGGACTTTTACTGCAGATCTGCTTCTGTGTGTGTGTGTGTGTCCCTCTAAAACAGACCTCCCACATCATTCCAAGCAATTCTGAATCAAACTATTTCAAAGAAGCCTTAGTACTCAATCAGGCTTCTAAGTGACAACACACATTTGCTTTGATGTTTCGCCATGTAGATCATTACTGCCATTAAATCTTGGAGCGTTCTTAGTGGTTTTACCATCCTTTCTTATCCCAGACCTCATGGAAATTGTTGAAATCTGAGTCTGCAGCTACACAAGATTTAAGGCACTCAGAGCAGAGATGAGAGCAATTGGAAGTCCCTGGGGATTGATAATGTGAGATGGAGCTTTCACCTCCAAGCTCTTAGTTCATATGTGGCCTGGGCTGCGAGTGATTTAAAGTCATTATCATCAAATAGTTGCTCAGTGGTCTTTGTGGCGTAAAATGATGGTTTTAGCCCAGTTCCTCCTGGACCTGGATCATAATCACCCTCAATACAATTGGCACTAATTGGACGACGTGCTGGCTATTGTAGCAGACAGAGAAATGCTATTGAACTGCACTCCTTTCCCATCTCAGCTACTCAGCCCATATGCAACACAAAACAGCGAATACAGCCACAGAATGGCTTCCTATATACCCACATTCCAAACTTTTCTTTTTGTGGCTATCAGTTCTAAGGATGGTGCTATCATTCTACAGGACCTAGCTTAAGAGGGAACAGGACAGATGCCAGTAACCACATGGAGGAACCTTGGAGACACTGTGCTACGTGAAATAAGCCGGACAGAAAAGGACAAATTTTGTATGGTTCCACTTCTATAAGGTACCAAAACAGTCAGACACATAAAGGCAGAAAGTAGAGAGCAGTGGTTACCAGGGACTAGGGGGAGGTAGAATTATGGGGAGTTATTATTTAGTGGGTACAGGGTCTCGGCTTAGGATGATGGAAAAGCTCTCTCTTAGGGATGGATAGTGTGAAGGTTGGACCACAATGTAGATGTATTTAATGACACTGAACTGGACACTTAAAAATGACTAAAATGGTCCATTTTGTTTGTATAATTTACCACAATTTTAAAATAATGTCTCAAAACAATAATCTCTAGCCCTGATATATTGCTGATACACAGTGGAACCAGGATTCCTGTTTCCCTCCTGCTAGACACCCTTTCCCCTCACCCTCACAGATACAAACTTCACACCCCATCCAAACAATATTTTCTCCATAAATTCATTCCTGATGACCACAGTTGGAAATAATCTAACTCTTTTCTGTGCTGTGAATTTTATCTATACTTCTCTCACTGCACTCAGCAGTTTCTCCTTACTTAGGATCATGTATGCCAGTAGCTTAGTCCCCTATTCCTTCCCTAGATGCAGCGTCCTGATGAACAGTACTTGATGGACTCCCAAACCCCCAAGTGCATTCACAGGAGTCTCCACATACACACTTGTTGCTACATACACCACACATGACAGTCAATCAAGAAATGTCCACGAGCCCTGGCCAGTGTGGCTCAGTTGGTTGGGTGTCATCCCATGCACTGAAAGGTTGCCAGCTCAATTCCCAGTTAGGGCACATGTCCGGGTTTCGGGCTCAATTCCCTGTAGGGGACATGTGGGAGGCAGCCAATAGATATTTTGCCCTCACATTGATGATTCTCTCTCTCCCTCTCCCTCCCTCTCTCTCTAGAAATCAATAAAAACGTATTTTTTTAAATGTCCACACAAGCTGAACGGATGACTTCAAGAGAACAAAAATAACGGTAGAATGAATTCCAAAGGGCCATTTTAAGTCTTCTATGTTAATGGCATACTGTTAGCCTGAATATAGTACCATAAATTAGGTCACTGTCTGGGATTTGTAAATCTTTTCAGAAATTTACACTCATGGAATATGAACCAATCAACCCTCAACTGCCATCAAGAAGAGAGGAGAGAGATAATGCAAAATAGGGAATCTCGACATTAATCTGTCTTCATAATTGGGAAGAAAAATAATACAGAGACATAATGACTCCCTTCGGACTATGCTCAGTCTAAGACCTGGCTGATCGATGAGGAAAAGAATCTATAAACTATTATATTAGATATAATCATAGAAGATCTCGACTTAATTAATCTTGATAAGAAATTAAGATTATTTACATATTTCTTTTGGAGGCACATTTTTTAGAAGAATGAGCTTTGGAGTCGGATAGACCTGAGTTTGAATTTCAGCTCAAGGATTTACCAGCCGAATGAACTCGGCACGTGATTTAGCCTTTCTGACCTCCACTCCTCTTCTGTGAGAGGGGAATGCCAACACCTATCGCGGTGCAAAATGATTAAATGGCTAATACTCGGCACTCACTCAGTAACGTTTCCTCTGCTTCTCTTCCTTCCCCAGGAACCGACCCAATTGGGCAAGTTAGTTTAGACTATAAAAGGTGTGTCTTTAATTCTGAAAACCTCTAAGAGAGAGAAACTGCTTGTTACAATTTTAGAGCGAGAAGGAGTCTTAGAAACATATGTAATCCAGTAACCTCACTTTAACTAAAAGCTCAGTTTAGAGCTTAAGTGACACGGTCAAGTCACCAAGCTACCTCGTCACAACGTCCCAAAGAGAATACAGGTCTCCTGATGCTGGGTCCAATACTCGCAAGCCAGGTACTGTTCTTTCTCCCCTCCCCCTAAAACTCATCAAATCCACACGCGCCTGCCAAATGCACAGGGAAACCATTTACCTTTGATTCCTCGGTCCACTTTCATTAAGCGCCTGATGATAGAATCGCGGGTATCTCCTTGCCTGATTTCAATTTTGGTTGAGAAGTGGCCATTGGATGGCTGGGGATTCACTATGAAAACTGACACACCAGGCTTAGGAAAATAAAGAGAAAATAATTGTTACAGGAAATCAAACTTGAATACTGCTGAGCGAAGAGGAATCTCTGCTACATTTTTAATGCCCAAAGAAAGACAGATTTAATTCTGGTATCTAAAATCCTGACAAAGGGATACACAAACAACAGTGTGGTGGTTGCCAGAGGGAAGAGGGTAGGGGGCGAAGGAAGTCCTAACATATGACGACAGGAGATTTGACTTTGGGTGGTGGGCCCACGGTGCAATTTACAGATCTTGTAATATAGAAACCCACATCTGAAACCTATACATTCATGTTAACCAATGTCACCCCGATAAATTTAATAAAAAATGAAAAAGACTCACATTTCAATTTTCATTGTATTTTTTAATAAAAACTAGGTGTGTTTTTTGCCCAGCTGATGTGGCTCAGTGGTTGAGTGTCAACCTATGAACCAGGAGGTCACAGTTCAATTTCCATCAGGGCACATGACGGAGTTGTGGACTCAATCCCCAGTGGGGCCTGTGCAGGAGGCAGCTGATAGATGATTCTCTCTCATCGTTGATGCTTCTATCTCTCTATCCCTCTCCCTTACTCTCGTTTTAAAATCAATAAAAGCATATTTTGAAAGAATAAAATAAAAACCAGGTTTTGAAAATCGTGTTTTTATTTTTTAAATCCACAAATAACATCTGATGCCATCACTTATAGTAGAGTAAGGAAAAGTGCATACTGCACCAACCAGGGAATTAAGAGACTCAAATCCACCCCCACTTCTAACAAACTATGTAGCCTGGTCCAAACCAATCACTTTACTTCTCTGGACCTCCCTTCCTTCATCTTTAAAATGATGGGTTTAGATGTAATGATCTCTAAGGTCTCTTCTAGCTCTAAAATGCAATGATTCGGTGAGATTCTTGCAACTTACTTCTGTTCTGAAAACATTAAGTGGTTTCCCAGGACAGCATTCTTCCCTGACTTTATCTTCTGCTTCAGAGGCACACTTGACTTCTATGTGTTCTAGCTAAATAGAGGAGGGAAAATGGAAGCCATTAGTATCACTTAATATGATTGAAATTAATCATCACCTCATTTCACCAAAGAACAAAACTAGGTTCTCCACTTAACATGAAATGGTCTGTGCAATTTTATTATTTCCTATATAAACATTAAATGAGATCTGTAATCAATTACTTAACTCTGATCTTAGCTGTCTCATAGTACTGTTATTTACATAGTGACATATACCATTTTCTATAATGAAATCTGAAATTTACCTGCTGAATAAGAGAAAATGAAAAATCAGCATAAAAGGCTGACCTTAAATAAAGTTCAGAAATTTAGCATTTGAGAATAAAAGCCTTCCACGTAAATAAACTCAGAAATGTAACATACTGCATATGCCTGAATATAAGATGACCCTACATGTGTCCCCACTTCCCAAAGTTCCAAGTTTTTTACTTCCATGAATATACATATATGAATATTTAAAACTATCCTTAAAATAGATGTCTACTAATATTTATTAATTTATTTATTAACTTATTTATTATTACAAAACATACAATGTTTATTTAGAAGTAACTATCTTTCATTCTAATATTCCATGAAAAAATTTATTTACTCTAAACCTGCTTTTTTTTTTTTTATTTCAGAGTCTCCATTATCACTGAGTCTTCTAACAATTTTTCTAAAGCAGATTATCTTTCCTCTGCCTAAGTGGTCTGAGAGACAGCATTTTTAGAATTGATATATGAAGCTATGACTGGGGCAGCATGGTGGGACAGGGAGAATATGTGAAAGCTATTGGTAATGTTCTAGTTCTTGAGTTGGTAGTAGATTCATGGGAGTATAAAAACAGGAGATATAACGCAGACATAGGGAATACAGTAAATAGTATCACAACAACTTTGTATGGTGACAGATGGTTACTAGACCTATCCCGATGATCATTTCATAACATATATAAACGTTAACTAATTACGTCATACATCTGAAACTAATATAATATTATATGTCAACTATTTAAATAAAAAGAGCTTTATATTCCAGAATGGAAATTTTAAAAAAAAATTTAAATCTGAAAATATGACCAAATAATAATATATCATGAACCAAGAATTCTAACTAACCCAATTCTGTAAATCTGAAAATAAGGGATGGAGGAGGGGAGGGAAAGAAGAAGCAATTTAGAGTACCTCCTAATATGAGCGATTTTGAAAGTATTTGAATATAAGTCCTAGACTCACTTTTTAAAAGACAATTTGTATGTGTGTGTGTGAGGGGGGAATCCAGGTATATATAGCTAGTATTTTATATACAGAATAATTGATAAGTGAAATAAGACAACAGGTCATTTTTTCTTCCTACAACTTCTATACCCACTCATTTTCTTCCTTTCCCCCCAAAATTGTGACTGATATATTTGGCAAAGTTCGTAAACACAGAAGATGAAGTTTATAAAAGGTCTATTATAAAACAAAAGAACTAGATATGTTTACTATGGTTAATTAGTTATTACACTCCTAGCTCCTCTTACCTCAAGGGAATTGGTCAGGTAGACTATATTCTCCATGAGCACTGCCTGTTCATCGAATTCTAATTGCAAATCCAGAACACGAGGTCCCACCTTCTCCAGATTTTCCTAACCGCCAAAATGGTTTTGAAAAACAAAATCACATTAACAATATATTGAAAAGAATATATTTCCTCCAAAGCAATCATTCTTCTCTCAATTGATAAAATCTTCAAATTTGAACAGTTAAAGCAAAGGCCTTGGACTCATAGCTTCTCTTATCTATGTCTGCTTGTTAATGAAATTACTAGCTCAGAATAATTATCATTTTAAATATGATAAGATGAAGGCAGCAATGAAATGACTGGAAGGATAAGGTTTTCAGATTCATAAAGTAAATATGATTTTATCTTAGTTTATTTAGACTGACTTAATAGGCAAGCCAAAAGACTGCTTTGACAAAGAATCAAACAAATGTGTGAAAATATCCCTTCACGTAACAAAAATAAATTAACTAATTAATAATAATAATAACATTTTCCAAGATACCAAATCTTTAAAGCTATTTCACAAAACAGTAAATTAATAATAAATTCCCTAACATATTCCTACAAATTTTAAAATAAAATGTAAAAATTCAGACTATAAGGATACTCAGATAATCCTGTGACATATAAAAAATAATTTATGTTCTTAATTTTCTTGAACATGAAATAAAATATTTTGCCAACTCAAAATATAACCAGAGAAAGCCAAGTTCAGATGCACAAACATAGCTAACTACCTCCAATAGGGTGCATGTACATGAAAGTGACCTGACATGATTCCCAGTATTGACTGTTTTCATTTACCATCTAAGTCTGTTTCTTTTCCCATGGAAAAAAAAATTCTTAAAGGTCATTTTCTTACTACCAGAGTAATTAAACATTTTTCAACACCACTAATATGCCTGGCAAATCCCCAATATTACTGAAAAAATATATTACTACTCAAATAGTCTAGCATTGGTTTTTAAAAAGCCAACTCTTGAATCTAAAATCTTATTACTACTTTTCAAATCAGTTTCTCTGAATTCTGTTAATGCACATCTTTGCAACCAACAATGTAAGGATAGTTTATTGAATCCATATATTGACAATGGATCTGGCAATCTGACCAATGGGACCACTGACTAAGGAGCAGACCAGCAGACATATAACTTGATTGGTATAGGTCTGTGGTCGGCAAACTGAGGCTCGTGAGCCACATGCGGCTCTTTGGCCCCTTGAGTGTGGCTCTTCCTAAGCCTTAGGAGTACCCTAATTAAGTTAATAACAATGTACCTACCTATATAGTTTAAGTTTAAAAAATTTGGCTCTCAAAAGAAATTTCAATCGTTGTACTGTTGGCATTTGGCTCTGTTGACTAATGAGTTTGCCAACCACTGGTATAGGTCAACCCAGAATTCTAAATTCTCAGACTTGAAATATCGTAATTTGAAAATTAATCTAAAGTACAAGAATTACTACTATGTGCCCAGCAGGCTGGAAAACACTGATTTACTTTTTTTTTAAATTACTGAGCCTACTTCTTGACAGGTAGTATTCAAGTGTGTTAAAACTATTATTTCATTGACTCCTCACATTACTCTTAAAAGGTAGTTCTATTAATTTCCTCACATTATAGATGAAAACTTTGTGACCCAAAGATTTTAAGTAATTTGTCTAAGGCCTCAAAACTAAGAAGTTAGAGGCAAACAGGGTTTGCACCAAGATCTGCCTGGCCCCAGAGCCTGAGATCTGAAGCAACATACAGCCTACTTTCTATTTCTCTTTGTCAAGAAATCCAATAGATCAGCTATGTATATGGAGAAAACTAAGAGTCTAACCCAATGATCCCTAATGGAGGAACTGAAGGGGAGAATGCTGATTTTGCCTGCAGGAGACATTTAGCAATGTCTGAAGACATTTTTGGTTGTCACAGTGGAGGCGGGTAAAAGGGAGGGTCTACTGGCATCTAGTGGGTAGAAGCCAGGGATACTGCTAAACTCTATAGTGTACAGGACACAAATAACTATCTGGCCCAAAATACCAATAAAGCCATTGCTGAGAAACCCTGGTTTCAACACTATAAACAACATTTATCTGGTTACCCTAAACCTGTAGAAATGTAGGATTCCTGGTTCCAGTAATAGGATCTAGAAAAACACCCTAATATACATCAAAAGAATATGCTTCCTCCCCAAACTGAAAAAGAGGGGAGGTAGAACATGAAGAGAATCATTTAGTGCAGCAATTCTAAACCACTTCTCCTCCACCAGACATAATTTCACATACTCAGCAATTCCACAGCTAAAGCCCACACCGGGTTGTTCATGTCCCATAACCACTGATTGAGAAGTGCTATTTCATGGATGGGTAGGAGGTAATCAACCAAAGACCTTGTATGCATATATGCATAACCCATGGATATAGACAACAGGGTCCCAAAGGCCTGGGGTGGGGGGTAGACGGTAGGGGGAGGTGGGGGATTTAGGGAGGGCTGGAGGGGGCCAATGGGGGACATATGTAATATTTTCAACAATAAAGAATTATTTTTTACAATTAAATTTTTAAAAAAAGAAAAGAGAAGTGCTATATCAGCAGATACCTTGGGGGAGACTTCCCCCTCCTTCTACTGGCCTGTCTAACCATTACTCATGTGGTCTCAGCTCTACAAGGCCCACAGCTTACCTTAATCATGGCAACAAATGGCATCACTTTCTTCATATATTTCTTCAATTCTGGCAAACTGCCTAGTTCAGTAGCAAGGATTTTGTTATCAGGCAATTTTCCATTATTGTTCTAAAAAAAAAAAAGAGTTGGAGAGGAAAGTAGAGGAAAATATTTTAAAGATGATGGAGGACTGATGTGCCTGTAGGAAGCTGGACGGACACAGAATGACCTCAACCAATCGGTGGAGAACAGGAAGAGGGTGCAGCCCTAGCATCACGAGGAAGGGGAAGGTGAATGAGTAGCACGGAAGGGAGTCTCGCACCCCTCGAAATTCATACAATACATGATTTTGAGGGTAAAGAAGAAAAGCAGGTACACTGTGGTGAATATTACTAGTATCTTTTTTCTGACAATAATGGCACCTCCAGGATTGTAACACTAGATCTCATCTGGTGAGAAAACAAAATGGTCTTATAAACTTCTAGAAGTATTTCATTATTTATATCAAAATGAAAACTGCACACAACTATCATACAGATTTATAATCTGCTTTTGAACACTTTGTTACACATTAGCACCATCATGCACAAAAGAATCCCAAGCTACGGACCTGTTAAAAAGCAGTATTATTTCTATCCACTCAAAATCAAGTGCCTGTATCATATATCACTAATATGCGTAAGTCCCAAATGTGCTGTGTGAATTTAAATTCACTTCTGCAAACACCAGCTGTCCCCTTTAATAGAGTGAGAAAGCAAGCAGCCTTTTCAGAGTTTGGGGTGACTCATTTTCTCCTTATTGTAGAAACATAGTATCAAAGCCAAGGGTTGGGAATAAATCTAAATGAAAAGTAACATATCGTAAGATTTCCCATAAGCCATTTACTTTCAATTCTAACCTTTACTAAGTAAGGTACATGGAAAAAAAATTTTCTCTACTTGTCAATGTGTTGCTTTGAAATACAATGAAAGAGAAAAGGAGAGGGTGGGAAACACCCCTTTTCCTTATGTCACGAAAAGGCACCATATTCCACGTAAGTACACTCTTGATTACAAACTAACATTCTTTTGGATGAATACAAAAATTTTAAAGGAAGCTAATCGTTCCAAATACCAAAAGATGATGTCGTTTTGAAACTGTACAATAACTAGTTAATGAATACTACGTAAAATTGGAACTTCTAAAAGAAAAATAGTGCGCATTTATTTTTAAAACCTGGGACATTGCATACTATATTTAGTTCTTCTACTGCTTCCTTGAAAATGTTGGTATGAATATTCAACTCACTGAGGCACAGTTTCAGTTCTCTACCTCTGAAAGTAGTGTTTACTCTTACTTATAAGTCAAAATCTGCAAGCAGATTCTAGAAGCTACTTTCTATTTCTATTACACACAAATGGGAAAATAGTTCTCCATAAAATTAGGTTCACAAAGAATAAAAAAAACACTTGCTCTTCTCTTTCCATCAAATTTTGCAAATATAAAAGTTTCTCTATATAATTCTGAATTAACTATAAAAATTATTGAGGCAAAATTCTAATAAAGGTCTATAAAATCAAAACTAGGGATTTTTCCTTCATGTTATCACTTTATGCTTTGGCCATAATCTCTATTCTCTATTTGCTCTCTCTCTCTAAGGGCATCTTCATGGTTTGTGTCTAAGTCTAAATATTGAGTTTCCTTTCAATAGAGCTATCATATATAATAGCTACTTACCTGACGGAGACAAAAACAACATCAAGCTCTCCATTTCTATGGGTAATTATTAAACTGAACATTTTCTTTTAAATTGCTCAAGAACCAAGCTTCGAGTTTTTCAGACATAATAAGGTTAAAGTTTCATGAATCTCAGCGTTTTTGCTTCATAATTTTAATCACATGGATGAAAAAGTCCTAAAGTCTTTAATTACATGCAACTAGATTCAAGCGTCCAAAATGGTGAAAAACAGCAGCTTTCCCCCTGGCATCCATTCAGGAGTCACCAAGGACAACAAAGGATGCTCCATGACTAGAGGTAATGAAACTAAGCTGTCGGTCTTCCCTCTCTCGGACATTGTCAACATCCTAAAAACAAAAGCCGCACAGGGAGACACCACAAGGTTGGGGGCAGTCTGCTGAGAGCATCACCTGAAAGTGCTGACGCAGAACTGACAGGGTGGTGTGTTGCCAGGATGGATAGTTCTTCGCCACATAGATGGTGCAATGGGAAGGCTTCTGAGGTGGTAGCGTGTCAGTCTTCTACAGAGTAAAAGAGAAGGAAAAAACCCATGCAATCACTTTCATATAAACCCACAATGAAGAACCCTCCCCCAGGATATACCACTACTGCCTTGAACATTAAAAAAGACACGTAATGCAGAACTGCATTAGCAATGAAGACAGCCCTACACACTTTAATGAAAGTTGCCTTAATTTTCATTACTGTTAAATACTAATTGACCAGTAACTTTTCAGAAATGACCTTTAAAAAAAAAAAAAAAGACGTCACCTTCCCTTTAGCTGGCATCATGTAATTCTTCAGTCGCAGTCTAAGGTCATGTGCGACCTCCATGAGATACTGCGAGGAACGTATCAGGACGTCATCCACAGGACCCACGGCAGGCCAGGAAGCACGCATAACTGAGTCAGGCTTTTAAGTAAAAACAGAAAGGCTCAGGGAGATTAGACAATACGACTCTTTTATGATTCTTGATTACGATTTCATACCAAAGCTACCATCTGCAATGGTGTGCTCGAAGTTCAAACCCTGACTCCACACAGCACACTTCCACAGCCCCTGACCTAATGTTCCCGAATTCAAGCTGTGAAGTCTTACTCTACATTCTTAATTAGCATCCATTTGTACGAGCATGTTAATACCCACACACATATGCTCACTTTCAAAGAAAATTATGTAATGCTAATTTGCCTCAATTTAATCATTATTATATAAATCATGCACACTCTCAGTTTTTATCCTATTAATACATCCAGTACGGAAAGTATGGCTGTGTGGTATATACACCATAAGCACATTTCTGTATTGTTTGTGCAGTGAAAAATGCAAAAGAGCCTGGCTAATAAGGTTGGAAAGGAGTTATTAAACCAGCCAATCTGTTTATCTGCAAGCCAGGGAGAAATAATTGAATTTATCTTCACAGTAAAAATGCTAATATAATATCCCTGAATATGCAGCCCTATATATATGCCAGGAATTTTATATAAAGCAAGAATATTTATGCAAATATACACTCCTATCTTTGTTTATAAGCAGTTCATAACATTTCTATCTTTCTCAATATTTTCACCTCTTTAACAAACAGTTGGAAAGGCAATATTAGTTAGACATGTATTTAAATATATACCTGAATATATTTAAATGTATTATAACATTTCCTAACAGGAATTAGGTGAGAAGCCACATGCATATAGTCAATGTTTATAAAATATATACACTGTGCATATAAACAAAGGCACGCACATGATGTTGTCTAAACAGGAGGCAGCTTCAGTTACCCTGTTGTAATAATTATGATGATGAATGTAGCATTATTCTTAAAATATTCATTTTCAGCATTTTTCTCTTAACTAACAACATTACCCCAACATTTATTTAATGAGACAAAAATCAAAACCGGCCACAACATCTTAAATGCATAAAGATACCTTTCCCAGGAGTGTCCAGATGTGCTCACACAAATGTGGACAGAATGGAGCCAAGAGAAGTGTCTGAACTTCAATGAATCGGAACACGAGGTCTCTGTGCATCCCTTCAATGGCCAGTTCACGGTACTTATCTTTCGCGGCCTATAAAATTGGATATTATTTACCATTTCTCTCCCCATACTTCTTAATAGTAAAGAGAAAAAAATCAGTATCTCTCTTAACAGCCGATCAATGTTCTCTCATTGATGTTTCTATCTCTCTAGCCCTCTTCCTTCCTGTCTCTCTAAAAAAAAAAAAATCAATAAAAACATATTTTTAAATAATTTTTAATAAAAATTTCTTAATGATAACTTAGTTACGCATTTTTAAGTTTTAGTCTTTTAAAATTCCATAATGAATTTTTGTAAAGGTATTACTTTAAAAATTTGCAAGTAAATGTATATCAATCCTTGTCCAAAGGATACTGCAGTTTTATGAGTCTGAAGAAAAAGTTTTTGAAAGGACATTTTGTAACAGACATTAAAGCTGAGCAATTTAAACTGTATACTAAGGGCAAATGCTCGGCATATAGAAAAGATATTAAGTATCAAAAAAGGCTATACCTATGACACACTGCTAAGCTCAGCACTTACCCTTATTTAACCACATCTATGAAAACCAAGTTACAGAAATCCCAATGTGATATTTAACACAACTGATTTTGAGTAAAGCTACATTTTCACTTTAAGCACTTGAACTGCCAAACTTGAGGAAATACTGACACCTTGTGGAAAAACTCAGAAAATACTGATTTTCCAACTAAAAGCAGTTACAATTATGCCTTTATTTTTCTTTTACTTTTTTATGCCTTTATTTTTTATCAACTTAGAAATGCTTTTCTGGAAAGAATTATTGATTTTTAAATTTAATCTCTTTATTAATGCTCATAGCTCAATAGAAACAGAATTACTTATGTTAAATGAACACAACAGAAAAAATACCAAAGAAAACTAGTTATAATCACAATTTATTGAAGAATTTTTAAATTTATTAACAAAATTTCCAGTCTCCATTTTAGATGAGTTGTTATGATAGAGCAGGAGAGAAAAAGGGGAAAACATAATATAGACAATGACATATTTTACAGCTATTAAAAAAATGAACAGCCTACCTGCAACTCAAAAAACCCTGTTTTCAAAGCTTCTTTAAACATCATCTTTTCATAGTTTTGATCTGTTTTTATAATTCCTGCATTCATTTCACTATTGAATAGGAAAAAACGGTTACTGGGTGTGAAGGCAAGTATAGCTAGGAATCAAAAACTGCTGCTTATACTCATAAACAGTAAAATGAGAACAAAGCCCGAAACATTTAAAACTGCTCTACCACAAGACCATTTTCATCTTCCTTAAAGACTGCCTATTATCCCTCTCTATTATCTGTATACTAGAGGCTCAGTGCACGAAATTCGTGCACTCAGGGGGCCGGGGTGGAGGGTCCCTCAGCCCGGCCTGTACCCTCTCACAGTCCAGGAGCCCTTGGGCTCCTTAGCATGAACCCGGCTTCTGGCTGAGCAGCGCTCCCCCTGGGGGAGCGCACTGACCACCAGGGGGCAGCTCCTGCGTTGAGCGTCTGCCCCCTGGTGGTCAGGGCACGTCATAGCAACCAGTCATGCCACCGTTGGGCTGAATGCGAGAGGGTGCAGGCCAGGCCAAGGGACCCCACCGGTACACGATAGAGGCTGGGGAGGGATGCGGGAGTTTGGCCAGCCGGGGAGGGCTCCAGCCCATCTTGCTCAGTCCTGATCTGCAGGACCCCAACAGCAAGCTAACCTACTGGTCAGGGCGTCTGCCCCCTAGTGGTCAGTGCACATCATAGCAAGCGGTTGAGTGGCCTTAGCATATCATTAGCATATTACGCTTTGATTGATTGAACAGACGTCTGGACACTTAGCATATTAGGCTTTTATTATATAGGATGCACCTTTAAGAACGTATTGTCACCTGACATTGCTTAGAGCTCCTGCTTATGAAAACACTGTTAACCATGCTCGTATCTAAAAACTAGAGGCCCAGTGCACAAAATTTGTGCACAGGTAGGGTCCCTACGCCTGGCTGGTGATAAGGGCCGATGTGTGGGGCGACCAGCAGGGTGATTGGGGGACCCATCTTGGCTGGCCTCTGGGGGTTGGGGGCAGCTTTTGTGTTGAGCATCTGCCCCCTGGTGGTCAGTGCGTGTCATAGCGAACAGTCGTCCCGCCAGTCATTCTGCCATTCGGTCAATTTGCATATTAGGCTTTTATTATATAGGATTCCTTGATACCTGGCTAGTGTGGCTCAGTGGTTGAATGTTGACCCATGAACCAGGAGATCATGGTTTGATTCCTGGCCAAGGTACATGCCCAGATTACAGGCTCAATCCCCAGTGGGGTTGTGTAGGAGGCAGCCGATCAATGTTCACTCATTGATGTTTCTATCTCTCTATCCCTCTTCCTTCCTGTCTCTCTAAAAAAAATCAATAAAAACATATTCTTAAATAAAATGTTTTTAAATAAAAATTTCTTAATGATAACTTAGTTATGAAGCCCAAAATGAATATGAAAATAGCTTACCTAAAGTTGTAGTCAAGTTTAACTGTTGCATTCTAAACAACTGACATTGGATATTTAGGAATAATTTTCTCATGCTACTGCAGGCCTTTCATAATACGGCCTAATCTGGCCCAACTTGGTTCATCTCCTACTTCTGCCCTCCAATTACTGTACTTCAAACATATACCATACTCTTTCCAGGGCTTTCTCTTTTCCTTGCAAAAATCCTGTTTGTTTTTCAAGAAACCCAGAACGCACACACCATTATTACACTTCTAATTGGAGGGACAAGTGTTTTTCTCTCTTGCTAGACAACAAGAAGGACCAAGTCTTACCCATCTTTGTAAGACCAGTACTTGGGATGATCCCTGAGACACAGAGGTTGATAAATGTCTTTTGAAGGGAAAACGAAAATGATATTTCTCCATTTCTTTTCATCTACTTTTCCTTGAACCATTCTGCCCTACTTTGATGCAAGAGAGCATGATAAAATGGTTATGAGAATGGGCTTTGGAAAAAGATAGAAGCAAATTCATATCCCAAGTCAGAAATGACTAGCTTTAAGGCATTTAGTGAAATAATTTTTCTAACCTTTAATTTCTTTATAAAATAGAGCTAAAAATATCTTTATTATATAAGGTTGCTGTGAGGCTAAAATCAGATAATGGATTCAAAGTAATTAGCATTGTACCTGGCACAAGTAAGCTTTCAATGAATAGTAGCTATTATTATCATCTAAATTTATTTTAAGATGAAAAAAGAAAACTTAAAACTTAAAAATGCACCAGGACTAAGCAACTCTAAAGTACCAAGTGGCTGGAACCCATAGGTTACCTGGCAAAAACTTTATCATTGAAGGTGCTGGCTGGACCACTTCGTAGGCTGTCCCAGTTGGCAACCATTTCTTTCACCCACTCCACCCAGGTGTACAGACGGAGAATACCTGCATCTGCCATGGCTTCCACAAAGTTAGCATCTTCCACAGTGTCACCCGCATCAGCCAGAGCCAAGCGCATTCCTGGACGAAGGGAAAAAAAAAACAATTGCTGATTTTAAACTGTAGTTCCTTAATATCAATTATGCATCCAGCTGGGTACAGTATGAAACCTGCACATAAATTAAGAAATAGCCAAAGCTTTAAAGGACTGCCATGGATCAACAGCAAAACAAAAATCACCAAAAGTAGATGCTGTTAAAATATTTGCACCATCTGTATTAATTTGCATACACTTAGCATCAATATGCTTTTCTTCTCAGGCATGTTGAGTTAATGAGATAAAGTGGTCTTCAATGAGGCAAAGGAAAAATTTAATAAACTGGGGATAGATATCCCTATCAACATCTCAGCCTCATTTAGAGATAGCAAAATATTATGATATTTTAATGCATGAAAACACACATTGGTGCTTCATGTGTACAAATATACGTATATTTAATTCCTAGTCCTCAGAGTAGATTCTTCCTGCCAAGTTTTCTATTAACAAAATTTTACTTTCCAACCAAAATCTTCCATTCTAAAATACTGAAAAAAAGCCATCAATAAGAGCCTATTAAATAAAGTATAGGACATCCTTGCAATGGAAAGCATGTGGCTGCTGAAAGAGTGAGGAAACAATGAACTGTGTTATGGAGACAGTTTCTTTCTTTAAGCCTCATGAACCAACCCCTGTTAACTTCAGGCTTTTCTTCTGCAGCTTCCTCACCTCTCTCAGGTTTCACAGAACTAAAAAGAGTTTGGGTCTTACCTGGATTAGGCTTTGGCTTAAGGGAATGTTGTGGCTGGTTTGAGCTTCTATCCAGACCACTAAAACTTTCATATCAGCAATAAAGCTGTTTTGCTTTCTTATTATTACTGTGTTCACTGGAGGAGTACTTTTAATTTCCTTCAATAACTTTTCCTTTCACAACGTGGCTAACTGAGGAAAGAGGTCTAGCTCTCAGTCCATCTCAGCTTTCAACATGCTTTGCTCATGGAGCTTAACCATTTCTAGCTTTTGGTTTAAAGTGAGAGACATGCCACTCTTCCTTTCACCTGAACAATTAGAGGTCATGGAGGGTTATTAATTGGCCTAGTTTCAATATTGTTGTGTCTCAGCAATTCTTACGTTTTAAACATTACGGCGCTTGTATACAAAGAAACCATGAATACTTTTAAAGTATTGGTAAGAGCAAAAGAGAAAAGCAATAAGATTAAATTGCCTTGTGTAATCGGAGGAGAATCGAATCCTATGCAACAGCAATGATAAAAAAGTATACTCACCATCGGCTGAAAATTTGTCAATGGCTTGGGTCAAAGTGAGAAAGTTGCCTGTGGATTTTGACATCTGGAATAGAAAGCCAGTAAGTAAGCATTATCAGGACTATACATAAAGTGAAACAGACCCAACCAATCAAGTTAAATGGGTTGGCCACAATCAGATAAAAACAAAAAGGATTGGAAAGGCAGAAGAAAAAGATACCCTAGACCAGGGGTGGGCAAACTTTTTGACTCGAGGGCCACAATGGGTTCTTAAACTGGACCGGAGGGCCGGAACAAAAGCATGGATGGAGTGTTTGTGTGAACTAATATAAATTCAAAGTAAACATCATTACATAAAAGGGTACGGTCTTTTTTTTTTTTAGTTTTATTCATTTCAAACGGGCCGGATCCGGCCCTCGGGCCGTAGTTTGCCCACGGCTGCCCTAGACTAATTTTACAGAGGTGAGGACTGAAGTCCAGTCAATAGTGACTTCTATGGGTCATTCAGCTGGTGAGTGAGAGCTAGGACAGGATCTCCAGGCTGAAGCTCAGTCCATTGCTCTTTCCAATAGACTCTACTATTACTTTATGCACAGGGAATTATTCCACTATAACTCTGGAACACTTCAGGTGATATAGAGAAGTGCTCTATATTAACTAGTCCTTCAAAAATAAACGGACTAGCTCATGAGGCCAGAGTTAATAGGGTTTTAGGAACTTTCTGTGATTAGGGTCATGATAACTGGCTGTTCAAATTGTGCTCTGCCTGAGGGCAGCACATCTAAGGAGCACTGTGCCCAACTGAGCAATCTTTATTTTAAATTTCTTATGTCGTAATCATAACTTTGTTGATATCAAAGAGAGGTGATTATTATATCAATGTTCCACTACATGGCAATAAAATATCATGTACCAATAAAATCAGTACGGTATGCAATACAATGTTGAAACCAAAGAAAATGTCATGTTATAACAAACTCCAAAATTCTAACATTCTAATTTAATGGCCAGTCACAGCATAAAACAAAATACAAAAACCACCAAGCTATTTTTTCAACTTAAATGAGAAAGATACTCTAGGTGTTTACAGTTACTGTCTCTGTCTCTGTTTCTCTCTCTGCTCCAGTCACAATTCATGTTACCTTTTGTGAAAATACTAGGAAATACTGTACAAGTGTTCTAATAGGTAGGTTCCCTCCCCTCAATTAATACTACCTACTCTACACCTTTTACTTTTTAAATATTTTTTATTGATTTTTAGAGAGAAAGGAAGAGAGAGGGAGAGAGACACATCGATGTGAGAGCAACACATTGATAGGCTGCCTCTTAAAGGACCCCTATCAGAGATCGAGCCCGCAACCTGGGCATGTGCCCTGACTGGGACTTGAACCAGCAACCTTTTAATGCACAGGACGACACCCAACCAACTGAACCACACCAGCCAGGGCTACACACACAATTTTAAAGATAAAACTTTAATTTGTGCTGGTAGTCCTAAACATTTTAAATGTAAGACTTTTAAGTATCTGATTTTCATATTCTTTATTTCTTTAATTTTAAAAAGTGCAACTTCCTAAATCAGAATAGCTTTCTGCAGAATTTTTAACTCTCAATGAGCCTTACCTTCTCAGAGTTGAGGAGAAGATGTCCATTTGCTCTCACAGCTACAGGCCATTTGTCACTTTATAGGTAAATGTTTAAAGAGAGAAAATAAAACTTAAAGATTGTGGTTTAGGCTTAAAATTTTGAGATAAATGCTAAAAGGTTAATAAAAGCTTGCTAACATAAATGTACAAGGATATTTACTAAGCCCTGTTTGTAACAGGAAACAAATGAAAACAATGAAAGTGTCCATTAGCAAAGGACTGGTTATAAAACTATGGTATAAGCATACAGTAAATTACTATGTACGTACTTAAAAAACACAGGCAGGGGCTATATAAAAACACAAGTCAGAAATAGTGTCTACAACATTGCATCTTTGTATAAATTAAAATATAAATAAGTATAGATATATGATGCTATTTTACTTGGCAAATCTATACCCTGCATAATAACTTCTTACATATTTGGAGCCATAAGACACTTATGTCAATAAGCAATAAATTTAGCCCACATCCTTTTTAGCACTCACCTTTGTTCTGGCCACATAGCCACATGATTATAAAGATAATATGAAAGATGATTTGGAACAAGGTCCTTGCCAGAGACTCTAAGATCCACAGGATACCAGAACTCAAACTCATGCTTTAGCTGATCTAATTTTTCCTTTGGAACCTGAGTCTTAGGAAATGGAGCTTCCTTGAAGAAAACATAATCCCAAACTTCCTTGGTCATCTGCTGTGGTCTGTATTTAAAATAGAACAAACAAACAACAACAAAACATATGTAATTTTTTAGAAAGAATCAGTATTTCAATCTAACCATGAATTAGGAATCTCTTAATGTAGTTAAAAGGAACAAATGAGTACAACAGACTCCCATAAAAATGAAGGATGGAGCCGAAACCGGTTTGGCTCAGTGGATAGAGCATTGGCCTGCGGACTGAGAGGTCCCAGGTTCGATTCTGGTCAAGGGCATGTACCTTGGTTGCGGGCACATCCCCAGTGGGAGATGTGCAGGAGGCAGCTGATCGATGTTTCTCTCTCATCGATGTTTCTGACTCTCTATCTCTCTCCCTTCCTCTCTGTAAAAAATCAATAAAATATATTTAAAAAAAAAAAAATGAAGGATGGATAATAATAAAAAAGAGGAGGGGCTATTGATTACTTTTTCTCAGTTCAATAGCAAAATAACAAAACAGCATAGCAAAATTCTGCTAAATGAATTCCTTTTTTAAAAAAATATGGCTTTGACTTTTTTAAAGAGTGGAAGGGAGAGGAGAAAGAAAAAGAAACATTGATGTGAGAGAGAAACATCGATAGGTTGCCTCCCACACACACCTCCAACCTGGGTATGTGTCCTGACCGGAATCGAACCAGTGACCTTTCGGTGCACAGGATGATGTTCAACCAAGTGGCCCACACTGACTAGGGCGGTTAAATGAATTCTCATGAAAACTAAATATTAAAAAAGAACCTTCAATACTTAAATCAAAAGATGGTATATTTTGCTGACAAACTAGATTTCTTTCCCTTATCCATTTACCAACCTGATGCCCAGTGGAGACTCTGCCTGTCCACGCAAGTCACCCCCCTGCAACAGGTGTGCCACTGTGTAAAATGCCATGTAAATAGTGGAATCAGAGAGTGATTCAATCAGCCACTGCTCATCCCAAGGCAGACGGGTACCTGCAAGATAAAAAGAAAATTAATGCATGAGGGACCTAAGAGACACTTCATCTATAAATCCACATTTTAAGAAGAGTTCTACAGGACTTATAAAGCTGCTTATAAAGGAAGTTCTTAAATTTACTCAGAAAATTAATAAAAATAAAATCTATAATAATACAAGCGTAATATGCTAATTAGACCAGACAGCTGAACGACCTTCCAGACATCATTCTGGACATCCTCTGGACGAAGCTGCAGTGACGGGGGCCAAGGCAGAAGCGGTTAGGGGTGATCAGGCAGGCAGAAGAGCAGTCAGGGGCGATCAGGCAGGCAGGTGAGCGGTTAGGACAATCAGGCAGGCAGGCAAGCAGTTAGGGGTGATCAGGCAGGCAGGCAGAGTGGTTAGGGGCAATGAGGCAGGCAGGCAGAGGTGGTTAGGGGCGATTAGGCAGGCAGGCGAGCAGTTAGGGACAATCAGGCAGGCAGGCAAGTGGTTAGGGGTGATGAGGCAGGCAGGCAGAGGGGTTAGGGGCAATCAGGCAGGTAGGCAGAGTGATTAGGGGCAATCAGGCAGGCAGGCAAGCAAGCGGTTAGGAGCCAGCAGTCCCGGATTGCAAGAGGGATGTCCAAGGGGTCCCGGATTGTGAAAGGGTGCAGGCTGGGCTAAGGGACGCCCCCTGCTTATCCCCCCCATGCACAAATTTTGTGCACTGGGCCTCTAGTGGTAAATAAAGAGCAAACTGGGTTAGTGGGTAGGAGACCCCATCTTGGTTTCCCTCATCCTCTAACCAAAAGCTCTCACTTCCAATTCAGAAAAACACTAGAAAAGAGGGAATTAGCAAAAATTGTTAATTTGCCGAAGTCATTCAAACAGAAAAATCTGAATTTTGCTTACCTAAACCGTAAGTTCTTGAGCAAGCATGCTCTTGTAGCCAGCCTAAGGTAGCTTCAAAATTCCTCCTGGTCTCCTCGCCGAATCTGGAGAGTAAAATACACAGTGTCTCCCTTCCCCTTCACTGTCTTCCATGCTTCTCATCTCCTCTCCCTTCCCTCATCACTTTCTCCCATCTTACGTTTCCAGGTTCTTCAAGCACTGGGATGTCTGCTTTTTCCAGTTCTCTTCTCCATAATCCAAGTACCTGGGAGTACACACATTGATTAGAAAAAAGGAAAAGTCTAAAGGGGAAGGAGAGTGACTGGAGGAAATTTCTTGCTACAAGAGACTAACCACTGGTCACACAGGGCCACGACGCATTCATCTGAAGACCTGGACATAACTTGTTTCTCTGGTTCCATGTAAATAAATGCATCCCCCTAAATGAAAGTAAATAAAAATATATCAGATATCATGTCAAGTCAATCTCTATTCCTCAAGGATAAAACAACTTTTTAAAAAAATGCATTTTCATTATATCTTCTTTCTCCCCAGGGTAAAGTTATCTGCCTTCTTTTCTATACACTTGCTTTTGTATTTTTGTTTTGTTCTGTTTTTTCCACTGTGTAACCTGCTTCAGTGCCTGCATCCTACAGGCAGAGGCCAGGCAGTGGTTCAAGGCCAGTGTGCTATGACATGGGGCACCACGAGAGAACCAGGGGGGTGGACCTGCCATAAAGCCAAACTCATGCACATAACACGTGCTTTTGAAAAGGTGTGCATCTTTGTCAAATGGATCACCTTCCCTAGTAGAATATATTTCTTCAGTGGCAAAATCAAAGAAGTATAATTGTTTTGAAGTCTATAGTTTGGAGATTAGGCTGCCTATGACATCTTTTTATCCTTGTTATAATAATGTAAAGAAAACAGAGAATTAAATATATGAAACTTTAAAAAACAATAGATGCCCAAAAATTAAAAATAGAAAATACTGTTCCTAAAGACTTATGGTGTCATGAAAAATTCCCACTAGAAAACTGACCATGAATTTTATTTTTTACCAAATATAAGTATCTTTTAATGCATTATGGTCCCAAACTTTTTAAGCTAGGATAATTTTTAAAAATAATATTCAGCATTATTATCCATATAATGATTTATTGCTCTGTGTTCTTAAATGCAATTCCTCATGCTGAACTTCAATAGCTGGGATTTTTGTTTAAAGATAGTGAAGTAAAAACATGTTTAACTCTGCTGCCTCTAAAATTCCAATAAAAGGACAACAAAGAGGTGTGGTGTTTTTTTAATGGCACAAACCTACAAAGACGAGAAAAACTGAAGAAACAATAGCCACCAAATTCTGGGAACTGAAAAGCAGGATGAGTGCTAACTGTATTAGCAGGTTGAAGAAAGCTGGCCGAATTCTAAGCCAACAGTAGAGGAAGCTAATACGCAACCCCGTTCGCAAAAAACTCAGGAATTGGTGGCACAAGGTAGTTCTGAAAGAGGAAACGTGAGGCCGAATAAAGGAGGACTAAGACTTTCAAGAGTTATTCCCAGAATGCTTTTGGACTTCTCAAAGGCATCACTGAACCAGAACACCGTGTTTAATGGCCCTCAAATTTTTAAGGAAAAATTATTTCCAATCCAGAATTCTGTTCCCAGGTAAAGAAGGGCAAATGAGGATAGGATAAAGATATCTGAGACATAAAAGGTTGTAAAAATTTACCTTCCAGACACTTTTCTCAGGAAAGCTACTAGAGGCAAAGCTTCACTAAAATGAGAGTTAATAAGAAAGAAGCAGTCAGGGAATCAAGGACACAGGGCATCCAACTCAAGAGAAGCAAAGGAAAGGTTTAGTAATGGTGGAGGAACACCTCAGGACATCGGTGCATCAGTACAAGCAACCAGTACCGACTAAAACAGGCCAGAAGGCTCTGGGAGAGTCTCTAAGATGAAACCAGGAGCACACTGATGTGTTTGAAAGTACCGAGAGGAGAAATAAACAGACGGGACAGAGATTGGGATGGTGTATGGAGAAGTACACTTAAAAGTGAGGAAAATCTTTTTAAAGAGACTATTAACTCCAGGGAAACGCAAAAGCTAGGGAAGAAAAGTTCTCATTGTATACATTATAGATCAGCCATGTCTCAAAAATGTAAACACTGACTATGGCTCTAACATAAATTATAATGTACCTATACCAGGATGATGGGGGATGGAGAAGTGTACATGAATGTGGTGAGATTAGAGAGGAAGCCACAAGGCAGGAAGAAGTAAATCTTGATCTTCAATAGTATAAAGTCAATGGCTGATGCCTAAAACTAAAAAATAAAATCAGAAAATTATACTACATTTAGATTTGAGATCTACAAGAGATGACGGTCAATACTAAAAAAAACTAAAACAGTTGAAAGTGAGCCCCTCCAACAAAGAGTAATTTAAGAGAATGTGGAAGGATAAAGAGAAAATTGACTTTTTTATTTTAATAAGCCTTACAGACAACTCTCTCTCTGTATCATGAGTACATATAACTGTCAAAAATAAAATTTTAATTTAACAAGTCGTTAAGTAGCTCAACAGAAGAAAGTTACAACAAAAATGAAGATGCGGGGAAGGGTGAAAGTGATAAGTAAAGCACCACAGAAAGAGAACTGTAACTGCTGGTATCACAAATGGCCACCACCAGGAGCATATTGAAGTTCTCTGCATGCGCTTTGCACGTACCAACTTTAGAACACTATTCATCAACGGTACAGGTGGGAAGTTCAACTTAAATGAACTGCTAAATAGGTCTCCTATATTCTGCCACAAAACAATACGCTATTTTTGATAAAGCTCAAGGTTCTACTTCAGACTCCCTGCTAATTCACACTGTAAAGTCTGTCTTTTAACTAAAATATTTCTTCTAAAACAGCCTTGAGAGGATAGCCTTTCACATACAGTGTCAATCATCTTTTTCTGAATAGTCTTCTTTACATCTTGGACCTTCTGTCCTTTAAATCCATCCACCAACATTACCTAAAAGGATGCGAGTGAAGAAAGAAACACATAGAAAATAATTAAAATTTGCTCTGAGTTCCTTCCCGCCCCCAACCAAACTTTTTCCTAACTAAATTTACTTCCACCCACCAACCCAAGATATTTCTAGGGTGAAATTTATCACATTTACAGCCATAACTTTTTACTTTGGCGTAGCTGGGACAACTAATATGTATAACAAATTTATTTTCTTTAGTATAATTAGGATAGCTGTCATGAGCCTGATTAGGAAGAAACCCTCACTTCCTTCCTTTCCACTTCTCAGGTGTCTGTGTGGAGAGAACTCCACTACACCAGCTCACCTCATTCCTCAAGGCTTTGCAAGAAGGAACTGAGCATATTCAGCTCAGCACCACTAAGGCTTCTCTTTCCAAACCTGCCTGTTGCCAACCAGCTTTCTCCTTTGCCTAGCCACGTGATAAACTGAGCTATGAGGAAGGCCTACTATTTTTCAGCTCTGCCTTTTACTTAGTGGGGAAAGTTAATTCTAGGGTAAAATATTAGTTTGTCATTGCTGTCACAGCTCTAAGCCACCATCCCCTTTCCAGCTGAAACTGACTTCCCTCTACCTGACTCCTGTGTCTCTCTCAAACAGTTTCTGAGTGAAAGACACAGGTTCTTTTTTGACCTTCCAATCCTCTAACATTACCAAAATGCTTCGTATCTATTTAATTCTTCATTATGAAGTGATACTTCTTCATCATTACAATGCAGTGGTTAAGAGCACAGTCCTAGAGCCAAGCTGCCTAGTTTGAATCTCAGTTCTGTCACTTGCTGGCTAAGTGGCTGATCTTGGGCAAATTACTTAATGTCACTTAGTGCCTCAATTTTCTTATCTGTAAAATGGGGAAAATGGTGCTTACTTCATGAGGTTATTTTGAGATTTAGAGAAGTTAATTTGTAAGTACTATATAAGTGCTGGCTTTTATTAACACCCAAAATGTGTAAGTTGCTTAAAAGATATATAACCAATTCTTGGTTATCGAGAAAAATGACAGTAAAGATCAAACAAATTCTCATTTATGTCCTTAAACATCTTCATTTTAGCTATGTATGGTGTCACATGGGTACCAGACTTATCAGGGCGGTCACTTCATAACACATAACTGTCTAACCACTATATTGTACACCTGAACTAATATAATATTGCATGTCAACCATAATTGAAAGAAAAACCTTTTAAAATCTTCATTTTAAGCTCAAGCAACTAACAACTTAGCTGAATATTCACTTTCTCTAACCTAGTCTTCTTTCCATAGAATTGCAGTAAGTCACATTAACATATGCACAGTTAAGGAAAAAGAGGTTCATTCATTCATTCTGCTGTGCTCGCCTGGCATTTAGTAGTCATTAACAAGTAAGTTAATGAACTGAATAAAATTGTTTGTTTGTTTTTAATATAAACTTCTTAATTTAAAGAGCCAAAGAAGGGAACATGTATTATCCATGCAATAAACCTTTGGAGTTCAGTGCATAATAATATGAACAAACTTTAAATAGCTTCTCAAGAAATTAATTCCTTAAGAGATTCATACAGGACACAAAAATGTAATTTCTGTAAATACTATTATTCCCCCACAAAAGAAGATTTAAAAGGGGTGAAAATAGAAGAATCTCTTTATCAATCTCATATTAACCTGTCATAGGTCAGTATATGGCTGAAACTATATTGAATTTTTCTACATATTTTTTAAATGATTAAGAAGAAAATCACAGAGCATGCAGTAAATCAAATAAAACAATAAAAAATTATTACTTACACCATCATAAAACCCTTTTAGATATAATTTCTCTTTTGCTTCTGCAAGTTTTTCTCGGTCATTCTGGCTCTGAACTTTCAACTCATCACAAATGGTCACAGCAGAAAGATTTCCAAAACCTGGGATTTCAATGACTGGCACCTGCAAAAACAAGAATGTCAGGAACCTGCTCATCCTGAGTGAACACAAAACAGCCCTATGGGGCACAGTCCTTTTGCCTCCACGGTCAGTGATCACACAGTGACTAACAAAGATCGAGATGTGAATTTGTCCTCCTCCTCTCCACAAATTCTGTGCAGCAACCCCACTGTCCCTCCCTTACATGTACACCTTCCCCAGCCCTCATCCCTCCACTGCCATCCAATTAACTACTACTAAATAATTAACACTGAAATTAGCAGAATTGTGAAAACAACTGAATTTTTGGAGGGTCTTGTTTTGTTTTCTAATAAGTCTTCTGGATTTGTCATGAAAGTTACTTGCTAGTACCTTAAATGTTTTTTCTTCTGCAAGCACTAATGTGAAAACATAAACATTTATGAGTAATATGGCAAAATGTTGTCCTCAGAAGCCTAGACATTGGCCAAACTAGCAAAATAAGCTACTATAAAATTGGTGATGCTAAAAAGCCATTTGTTTGTTCCTGAATTTCAGGTGCTAATACTTAGTTAGTTTTTCTTTCACTCTTACCTGCCACAGCAGACATCAAGTTAAAATAAACTCTCAAGTAAACCCCCTTATTTCCATACTCCAATAATTAATTTTGTTACAAAAAAAAGTTAGCTCTTTTTTTTTCTCTGATAAAGATATGGATATGAATATACAGAATAATCTATGTACTCACTGGCTCAAATGGCAAGACCATGTCATCTCTAATTCCATACTTTGCTCGTAAAGCCTACAAAAAAATGTTAAAGTTAACATTAATGATCAACACTTTATTAGTATAATAATTGAGAAAAGAAACCTCTAAACTTTTTTTGAGCTATTATTTCTTCTCCTTTCCATACAGAGCAATGTTTTTATCTTTACCACATATCTCAAGAAGGGATCTATGACTTTTAAAAACTCAACAGTTTAAGTTATAATGAATAGCTTAAATTATGAAACTGTATAGCCAAAAGCAAAAACTGACACACACACCCCCACTTAAATGGGTTCGTATTCTAGGTTGCAATGAAAATGTGACTATCAGAAAACTTTTCAAAAGTTTAATGAAATCCACCACATCAACCAATTAAAAAAGAAAATTCCATATGATCATATCAACAAATGGAAAAAAAAAGCATTTGACAAAACCCAGCACCCATTCATGATAAAAACTCTCAGTAAACTAGAATAAAGAGGTGCTTGCTCAGCTTCATAAAGACTATAAAAACCTACAACTGCCCAACTGGCGAGGCTCAGTAGTTAGTTGAGCGTTGACCTATGAACCAGGAGGTCACAGTTCAATTCCTGGTCAGGGCACATGCCTGGGTTGCAGGCTCCATTGCCAATGTAGGGCATGCAGGAGGCAGCCAATCAATGATTCTCTCTCATCACTGATGTTTCTATCTCTCTCTCCTCCTTCCTTCCTCTCTGAAATCAATAAAAATATATTTTAAAAATTAAAAAAAAAACCTACAGTTACCATCATAATGATGAGAAACTCGAAGCTTTCCCACTAATATTAGGTAAATGCAAGGATGTCTCCTTTTCCCACTCCTTTTTTTTTATTGTTGACCATATTACAGATGTTCCCCAGCCCCCTCCCCACAGTCCCCTCTTCCTAGTCCAAAGGTTTATTGCACATATAATACATGTTCCCTTCTTTTGCTCTTTAAATTAACAAGTTCAAATTTTTAAAAAGCAGTTTTATTCAGTTCATTAACTTACTTGTTAATGGCTACTAAATGCCAGGTGAGCAAAACAGATGTGAACGAACCTCTTTTTCCTTAACTGTGCATATGTTAATGTGACTTACCATGTTTCCATAGAAAGAAGACTAGTTTAGAGAGCAAATATTCAACTAAGTTACTAGTTGCTTGAGCTTAAAGTGAACTTTAAAAAGGTTTTTCTTTCAATTATGGTTGACATGCAATATTATATTAGTTCCAGGTATACAATGTAGTGGAGTGGTTAGACAGTTATGTGTTATGAAGTGACCACCCTGATAAGTCTGGTACCCATGTGACACCATACATAGCTAAAATGAAGGTATTTAAGAACACAAATGAGAATTTGTTTTACCTTTACTGTCATTTTTCTCGATAACCAAGAATTGGTTATATGTCTTTTAAGCAACTTACACATTTTGGATGGTAATAAAAGCCAGAACTTATATAGTACTTACAAATTAACTTATTTAAAACTCAAAATAAACTAAAGAAGTAGGCATTATTTTCCCCATTTTACAGATAACAAAATTAAGGCACTAAGACATTAAGTAATTTGCCCAAGATCTGCCAGTTACCCAGCAAGTGACAGAACTGAGATTCAAACTAGGCAACTTGGCTCTAGGAGGGAGAGAGATGAATAGGAAAAGTACAGAGAACTTTTAAGGAGTGAAAATGTTCTGTATGATAATGATGGATATATATAATTACTGTATACATTTGTCCAAACCCCCAGAATGTACAGCACCAAGATTAAACCCTAAGGTACACTATGGTCTTTGGGTGACTATGATGTGGTTCATCTTGGTAAAAAAAGTACCTTTCTGGTGAGTGATGTTGATAATGGGGAGGCTAAACATGTGCTGCGGTAGGGGGTATAAGGAAAAATCTCCGTACCTTCCTCTCACTTTTGTTGTAAACCTAAAACTGCTCTAAAAAAATAAAGTCTTTAAAGAAATATATTACGATACATTATATTCAATATTCAAACCACAGGAAAATATATAAACATCAGGAAATAGATTAGAGATTGCAGTTCAAAGTGACATGCAATAGCTTTTTAGCCTAATCTCATAGAGAAGTTCAGCGGTACCTAACCAATTAGATGAAGAAGGGGGAACAAGAATGTGAAACTCAGATACTCACCTGCTTTTTCTTCAAGTCTCTGAGAGCAGCAAAATCATCGGGGGAGTCAGAAGGAACACTTGTGACCACACCAGTGCCTGATAAAACAAAGTGTGGAACTGATTAATACAGCCAGATGTGGTTACCATAGTATTTCTATAAAGAAATAAACTCTTTACCTTTATCCTCCTTAATGGTGAGCATTGGGAGAACATAGATCACCTTGTAAGATGTTAAAGGTGCAGAAAGTGATGCTCCAAGAATTTCCTGTGTAAGAAAAAGATCAGCATAAAAGGTGAAGAAACTTAACCAATAAAATTGAAAACAATGCTATTTTAAGCCCAAGAAGCTAGTAATCAAAAATATATGAAATAAAACAAAACTCATTCTTTTTTTACCAACTAGACCAAAAATAACTATAAATACCGATTAAGGTTGTAAGGAAATTAGTACACTGACACAGTGCTTTTGACATTGCACTCCTTGAGGAAAGCGACATAGGAATCCATGGCAGGAGCCACAAAAATGTTCACACAAGACCCAGCGATCCAATACTATGAATTTACCTCAAAGTTAAAAAAAAAAAAAAAAAGAAAAAATGTTTTCCTCTGAGAAGTCTGCCCAATGCTGTGTTAACCTTGGAACAAATAAAACTTTATATAATAGAAAAATTATTTAATAAAATATAAGACTTCACAAAGCTAGAATAGTGTATAACCATTTTAAATGATAATGGGAACACCAATTGAATTAAAAAGATATATCTAGTTTCTCTTTTTTTAAAAATCAGAAAATCCAACAAGATTGGACCCATACACAATAAACGGCTTGTAGCTGCTTGTTTAGCTAAGGAATGAACTTTTCAATTCCATACAGTTCCCACCCATCCCACTTTATTCATAGAGATAAGCTGCTTTTACAGAATTTACAGTGATGAAGGTTGAAAGCTATTTTTAAATTTATACCACATTTTCCTCACTCCAGAATCTGCTCAAATTAACATGGAAAGAAGTTGTATTAGAGACAGTTAAAAGTTTGTGTTATTAATACTGTTCCCAAAAACTGCTCAGACAGAATTCCAGCATCAGGTACTAATGAGATATAAACACTGCTTGGAACAGAAAAATACAGGAAACAATCCAAATATCCATTACAGAGAATGGTTAACTATACTGTGGTACAGCCAGACAGGAATACCTTTGCAGGAAGGGAGTGAGTACTGACTGTGAAATGGACATAAGAGAACCTTCTGGAAAACTGGAATGTTTTATATTTCAATTTGGGCAATCCTTACATGAGTGTATACACATATGAAAATGCACCAAAAAAATACACACCATTTATATATTTGATGATATGTATGCCTCAATTAAAAAGTCTTGTTTAATATTTTTTTCTCATGCTTCACTGTTGAAATTTTACCTCTAAATTCATGCACTAAAATAAACAGTCTGCTACCCAACTTACCTCTCCCATTAATTCCTTAACAACAGGCACCACGCCACTGTCTTTGGTAAAGCCCTGGAATGACATATTCCTGGCAGCTCTTTGGGCGCAAATGAATATATCACCATTCTTTGTCTCAAACCCAATGTACTTCATATCAGGGCGAACCCAACAGTTTGTCTGTCCAAACATGGTCTCAGGTCTGAGAGTAGCAGCTACCAAAAAGATATTTTTCCCTTTCAGGCCACTAAAAAAAAAAAAGATACATTAAAGAAAAAAAAAAGTTGTGGATTTTATCACAAGTATCTGATATTCAAAAAGCTGAAACAATAACTGTTTGGCAAACCTACCTTAATTTGGATGGGTATGGCTCAAGCACTTTCAACTTGATTAAAGTATATTCCTGAGGTCCAACACCCTAAACAAATAAAACAAAAATGGAGGGGGGAAAAGATTTGGATTAACATCATAATTAAAGGCTGATTTTGAAAAGCAGTCACTAGACCAGCGTTCGCTAACCAGTGGTCCGCGAGGTCCGAAAGGTTGGCGACTGCTGCACCAGACTACAAATGTGTTCAAAAGTGGTAATAAACAATGACACACGAATTGGGATTCCTAAGTTCGGATCCTGACATTGTTGGTTTACTATGCCAAGGCTTTAGACAAACCACTTACCCTTGCTTCACTCAAGTATTACAAAAAATAATGTCACTAATGTGTCCTACAGGCATGTAGGGTGAACTGACGTCATATAAGCAAGTAGGCACACAGCCAAAGCAAGTGTAAATGGAATCTGTGTACATCAGTCAGCCACGTATCTCATTACCTTTCCCCATGCCCTTGTTTCAGAGCAGAGCATTCTCCAGGCAGTGCTTCTCAAACATTCGCATGCATATGACTCACACTGAGAGTCTGTTAAAAGACAGATTCCTGGGCCCATCCCCAGAGTTTGTAATTTAGCAATTTTGGGGTGAGGCTCAAAATTCCTTTTCTATCACAAGCTGATGCAGCTGGCCCAGGACCACTCTTGGAGTAGCAAGGTCCTAGACAAGATTCAGGCACCTAGAATGACATTCTGTCTCCCTCTTCACAGCCCCCAGAGTATCACAACTATAGATCTCAGCACTGGAATAAAGTTACTTTTTAGGTTTCTGATCTATTTCTTAAACTCTATGACCATATGAAGAATTATCACAAATAAGTACCTCTCCAGTTTGTCTGTCATGATCCATACAAGGCTGTCCATCTTTTGGAGAATAAATGGTATACCTAAAAAATAAGCAAGTGACAAGTATTGCTATAATATACAAGTTTTAGCCTAAATATTTAGTGTTGCTCCAACAATATTTCTTCTAACTAAAACTTCTAACTGAGCAAATGTCTACATCTATTAATTATGCTTTTATGGTAGTTCTATTGTCAATCTAGTTATTTAATGAAAGATCTCTGCCTTCATCAAAAAAATATTAAACATTTAAATTCACTTATGAAATGCAAATAGCTTTTAATTAACTCACATAATCAAGGAAGAATCCTAAACAATTTATAGAACAAAAGAATAAACTAAAACACAAATGCAATTATTATTTTTCTGTTTGGCTGGGAATACTGAACAGAATCTTTTGTGAGATCATAAAAGCCAACACTCCCATTCTCCCTGGTTCTAGTTGTCATAAACAATAAGCAGCTCAGAGAAATTAAGACACTGGCAAGACAAAAACAAACCAAAGGACACAAGAGAACAAAAAGAAAGAAAACATAAAAAAACAAAGGTAATAGAGAAAAGTGGGCTATGGGGCACCGAATTACAATGCAAGAATTATATGATTTTTGCTTTTTTATACTGAGGGACAACAAACTCACCGTTTTCCAAATTTAATTCTGTTTCTTTCTCTTAATGTTAAAAACTGCCACCTGACAAACGAATCATAGTAAGGATTAACATCAGTGGTGATGAAGGAACGACGCCAGTCTACCTACAGAAGGAGAAAGGAAAAGGTAATTTTTGAGAGTTCTGTCTCTATGAATGAGAATTCCTATGAATCAATTATTTACTCTTCAACTCTATTTTCCAACTAAGAATTATATCAAATTTTAAAAACAAAATTGTTAAGTTCCACCTATTAAATATATATCACAATTATTACATTAATTTTTGTTTAATATGTGTACTTTTAAACACACACATTTATACATTAAACATACAAGAATTATAATAAATTAAAAAAGGAACACTTAGCCCTAGCCGGCTTGGCTCAGTGGATAGAGCGTCAGCTGCGGACTGAAGGGTTCCAGGTTCGATTCCAGCCAAGGGCACATGCCTGGGTTGCGGGCTTGGTCCCCAGTGGGGGGAGTGCAGGAGGCAGCCGATCAATGATTCTCTCCTATCATGGATGTTTCTCTCTCTCTCTCTCCTTCTCCCTTCCTCTCTGAAATCAATAAATATATATTTTTTTAAAAAAGGAACACTTGGCTTGGCTCAGTGGATAGAGCGTCAGCCTGCGGACTGAAGGGTCCCAGGTTCGATTCCGGTCAAGGGCATGTACCTTGGTTGCGGGCACATCCCCAGTGGGCGGTGTGCAGGAGGCAGCTGATCGATGTTTCTCTCTCATTGATGTTTCTAACTCTCTATCCCTCTCCCTTCCTTTCTGTAAAAAACCAATAAAATATATTTTAAAAAATAAAAATAAAAATAAATAAAAAAGGAACACTTAAATAACACCTTTAAGTGTTCCTAAATATTCAAATTAAACTTTGGCTCCTTCATATTCTTTCAATAGAATTCCTTTCTACTAAATCCTAACATATTGATATATATTCCAATACAACAAATATTAAAATACTTTATTGCTCGCATAGAGGCCCATTAGGTTCTAAATTGACATAGAGTACTGATTCATCAGAGGAATTTAGGTGAAACATATTCTAAATTAAGTAGTCCAAATCTCATGTAATCACATAAATATAAACATGTTCTTCATATTTTCTTCAGCTACGGAGGTGATAGGCATACCTTCAAACCCATTCTCTTCAGATCTTGAATAGCCAGTGGTGGGAAATAATCAAGCCAATGTTCTGCTTCAGAAAATTTGGCTATTTCTTCATCAGCCAGACCGAGAGATTTCATAATGCCCCACTGGTATTTAGAAGATCCAGCTTTAGCAGCAGCTTTACTCTGGAAATAACCAGCAAAAACACATTCCATCAAAGAACAACCAACAACTTGTTAATAAATTCTAGGATCAAATTACCATTTGGTAATTTTTAAAGTGCAAAACAATGCTGTTGATATGTCGGAACCACGAAGAACTATCATCACAAACATAAGATGTCAACACCAAACCTTCTCTATTTCCCTCTCCCAATACCACATACATCTTTTTTTAGCTATGACAGCTTAGATCACACTCACAAGAGTTTACTATTTTCCAATCTTTACCAACATCAAAAAGGCAACCAAAAGCCAGGGGTTGGAAATAGGCAAAGAAGTTAAACTATAAAAAGGTAGGACCAGGAATTGGGAGGGGATGGAACTGCTCCAAATGGTGTGACAGTGGTGGAAACAGAGCTCCATGCATCTGTCAAACCAACACAACTACACAGCACAAAGGGTGTGTGTTTCTTTAAATGTCCATCTTTAAGATCATTTTATCATGCCCTTTAGTTAGTAAAAAGTTCATTTTAATTTCTGACTAATATTCGGTCTCCACATGGCTTTTCTTTTATATCCTTAGTTATAGAACTTCTGTTCAGCAAGTCTAAAGAATGCTCTCAAGGGTGGTGGATATATAATTTAGTTATAATTTTGATGTGGTCATGGGAGGATGCAAGCATAGCATTTACCTACTCCGCCATCTTGACCAGAAGTCCAAGAGTGAATTAAAAAAAAAAATCAGAATGTTGGAGGAACCCAGGATGGAATGCAGAGTATAACAAATATATCTAATTACATTATAAACGTATGACATAACCACTCAAAAGGGAATGGGGAAAAAAAGAGCTATGGAAGTAACTTTGAAAAACAGTGTGTTGCGCTGGATAGTGTTGCTCAGTGGTTGGAGCATCAGCCCTAGTACCAAAGGATCTTGGGTTCGATTCCCAGTCCAGGGCATGTACCTGGGTTACAGGTTCAATCCCCAGCCCCATTCAGGGTGGGATGCGACTAATAATGTGCCTCTTTCATATCAATGTCTCGCTCGCTCTCTCTCTCTCTCTCCCTCCCTCCCTCCCTCCCTTTCCCCCCTCCCTTTTACTCTCTCTAAAAATCAATGGAAAAAATATCCTCAAATGAGGATTAACCAAAAAAATTTTTTTTAATTAAAAAAAAAGAAAACCAGTGTGTTATCTAAAAGACAAAAAGAATTATATACAAACACCTTAAGTTAGTAAAATTATTTCTCCCAGGATTATAGGTTAACAATTCTGAAACTAGTGGTACACTAGGACTGAGCAAAAAATAATAAATATTCTGCAAATAATGAGTCAGGTTTCTCATTGTTGAAGAAAAAAGTCACAAAAAAGAAAAGGGAGGACAGAATGAGTCCCATGGTGCTATAATGGAGCCAGGGTATCATGAACTTTCTAAAAATATATATACTGCGCTAGTACTTGGAATGAATATACAAATCAGACAAACATCAATATAAAACTTGAACCAAAATAAGTATCATCAACCACCAAACCTTTTTTCCTTTAGCTTTATCCTTAATTATTGCATCTTCTGTTTTAGCATTGACTTCTTCCTCTTCCTCTTCTTCATCTGGAAAATCAGGGGGGCAACCATAGAGCTCTATTTCTCTTTTCAACTTATCAGCACAGGCCTAAGCAAACACAACATTAGAGACAGTGAAGTTCAGAATTCAAGGTAGAAATAATCTGGGGGGTTTTCTTCTATGGCCCACTAAAATTGACTCTAAAATTTTCTGCAATATATCTATATATATAAGTGGATCAAAACAGAAAACCCAAATGATACAAAATTCCCCAATTTATAAATTAGTATTACTTCCTTTACTCAGCAAGCATTTATTTAACACCTCAAGTACTTAATGTAGTATACTACATGTTAGGCATTCGAAGTACAGGGATATGTAAGATATGATGTGTAATTATTTTGAATAACAACATGATTAATAGCATTTCTCAATTTAATGATTGTCATATATACTCATTAGTTATCATCCCAGCAGGTATGAAGTTAGAAAAGAGACAGAGAGATTAAGTGATTTATCCAAACTTATAAAGCTACTAAGCTGCAAAGCTAACACATGAATCTGGGCTTCCCACCCCAGTTCTCCTCAATTATACCATAAGGAGTTCAGTGTCAAACACAAAGATGACTCCAAGTAGATAGTGTTAAAGTTATAAAAAAATACAAATATAGAATTGTGAATTTTAAAAAGGGAATTCACTCTTTTATGCGGAAGAATTTCAGTTAATAAATGAGAAAAGAATGGGTTATTGAGAAGCGGATATTTAAAGGCTCTCAAAGCATTACTTGCCCCCTCACCCACAGATTACTTTTAATTAAAAAGGGGAAAAGTCATCTTTAGGATGAAGAAATCTGACAGGTATTAACTTAATGTCACTAAAATGGGACAAACTGCCTTTTGATGTGATACAATGGAAAGTTTACACCTCACCAGTGTAGTATTTGGGTCAAAATATTTAACCCAAATCTAATCATGAAAAACAATAAAAATTAAAAAAAAAATTTCCCCCGTGGCCAGTTTGGCTCAATGGATAGAGCATCGGCCTGAGGACTGAAGGGTCCCTGGTTCAATTCCGGTAAAGGGCACATGCCTGGGTTGTGGGCTCAATCCCCAGTAGGGGGTGTGCTAGAGGCAGCCGATCAATGATTCTCATCATTGATGTTTCTGTCTCTCTCTCCCTCTCCATTCCTCCCTGAAATCAATAAAAATATATTAAAAAACAAAAACAAAAAACTCAGATTATGGGATATTCTGTAAAATAACTGGCCTAGATTCTTCAAAGACATCAATGCTGTAACAAACTAAAGAGAATTGATCATGAAATGCACTGTGTGATCCATAAAATAAAAAGTAAAAATAGCCACAAAGAACATTTTGAGACAATTAGAGACATACAACTATAGATTAGATCACGATGATAATATGACATCAATGTTAAATTTCTCCAAGAGGATGTTACTGTGGTAAAGTAGAGGAATGCTCTTATTTTAAAAGATTATGCTGAAGTATTCAGGGGTGACATGTCATGATGCCTGCAACTTACTTACTTTCAAAGAATTCATAGAAAAGGCAAAAAAAAGCATACATGTACTGTGTGTGTGTTGAGAGACAGAACTAAATTATGGAAAGTATTAAGACTTGCCCTAGCTGGTTTTGCTCAGTGGATAGAACATCGGCCTGCAGTTGGAAGGGTCCCAGGTTCAAGGGCATATGCCCGGGTTGTGGGCTCTATCCCCAGTAGGGGGCATGCAGGAGGCAACCGATCAATGATTCTCTCTCATCATTGATGTTTCTATCTCTCTGTCCCTCTCCCTTCCTCTCTGAAATCAATAAAAATATTTTTTTTTAAAAAAAGGAAATGCTGCCCTAACCGGTTTGGCTCAGTGGATAGAGCGTCGGCCTGAGGACTCAAGGGTCCCGGGTTCGATTCTGGTCAAGGGCACATGCCCAGGTTGCGGGCTTGATCCCCAGTAGGGGGCATGCAGGAAGCAGCCAGTCAATGATTCTCTCTCATCATTGATGTTTCTCTCTCCCTCTCCCTTCCTCTCTGAAATCAATAAAAATATTTAAAGAAAAAAAAAAAGACTTGGCAACTATAAGTGAAGGCTGTATGGGTGTTCACTGTACTATGCTTTTACTTTTTCTGTAGGTTTGATGTTTTTCAAAATAAAAGGTTGAAGAATAAAAAAAAATCTGAGTTAAATTTTCCAACCCTACAACATTTGGGAATCCTTTCAACTCTAGTTTTCTGGCCCATTCTTTATTGAGAATTATTTCTAGTATAAACTTATGACAAATGAAGACATTTGAAAAAATGATCAAAATAGGGTAGAAGTGTTTATTACTTTGTGCCAACATCCTAGATGTGTCATGAATGCTCAAAACACTGCGCATTTTACTTGGTAGTAGTTATAATATAATTCTAAAACAGAAATATGAGTGTATAGGATGATCAAACAATATCAAAAATTACTTAGAAATCACAAACCTTAATGTGTGCCTTTTATTTAAGGACTTCTTGAACTGTTTTTTTTAATGTAATTTTCACTATAATAAATTCATTTCAAAAAAACACTGTAATAGAGCAGTATTTTTTTAATCCCTTTTCAAGCTATTGAACTAGATATTTCTATTTGCTCTAAGCCAAAAAGGGTAGAAACCAATCCCAAAAGCAATCTTACCTTAATAGGCATTCCAGTACAGTGTAAACCAAAGGGGAACAGACAAATGTTTCCTTTCAATCTCTGGTACCCTACTGCAAACTATAGGAAGAAAATTAAATTTAAATTACAAATTTAAATGCCAGGCGAACAGAAAATGCTGACTTTTCACAAAGAGCATCAGTTCAGTTTTCCTCTTCACATCCTCCTTTAACACACCAGCTATATTGTATAATCATCCCAAAGTTTTAACCCACCTTTTTGTGTCTTTTCACCAACCTAGAAATTACTTGTGAACATACATACCTAGACCACTGCACACATAATATATAAAAATTAAATATAAAAAAAACTAAATTACTTAAATATAAAAAAAATATGCTTAAAATTAAGGAAGTCTAAGTTCCCTTACCAGGAAATAAATTCTATAAATATCATTTTCAAATTAGTATTTATTAAAGACCCAGCAGCCCATTATATTAAACAGAGGAAGCTTTACCTCACATTTCGATAAAGAAAATGTGTGTCCCAAATGAAGGCGCCCGTTCATGTATGGATATGGGAAGGTGACAAAGTACTTGCCCTTGCTGCAAAACAATCATATGAAAAAGGAAATACAGACAAGAAAATGTTAGATTCCTTTTACAAGGAAGGAGTATGGTGAAGGGAATGCTTGTGTTCAAACTTTAGTTATTTAAAATTAAATTTATAAATCCCCAAGTTAAAAGATCTCTAAAATTAAAACTTACTTTTGAAAGAATAAAACATTTGTAGGTGGCTATTGAGAAATAAATATACTGCGCTGGCCAGGTAGCTCAGTTGGTTAGAGCGTCATCCGATACACCAAGGTTTCAGGTGGGATCCCCAGTCAGGGCACATAGAAGAATCAACCATAAATAAGTGGAACAACAAATCGATGTTTCTCTTTCTCTCTTCCTCTCTCTCTCTTAAATAATTTTTCAAAGAAATAAATATACTTGTAGGTTTAACTTAAGCAAAAATGCTTTATAAAGATAAAATACTAAATATTAAATTTTTTAAGACTTAGGGATCTGAATACATTTAATGTTTTACTGATTAAGTTAAATTTGTTTTTACAAGATATATAAAGCAATTCAAAGTCCTCAGGTAAAATAGAACATCCTCAATATTGCATGATATGTTGTAAATTCATTTAAAAAGCACCTTTTAAAGCTAACATTTACTATGCTATATTCTTTTTTCAAGTGTTATCTAACATACATAAGTTATGAAGCACAATAAAATGAACACTTATAAACCACCGTCCAACTTTTGAACCCACTTAAGCTCCCTTTGTGTTCCTCCCCACTTCTCACCAGAGATAACCATGATCTTGAAATTCACTTTTTCATTTCCTTGTTTTAAAATAGTTTGTACCTAAGTCTGTGCCTTTAAACAATGTGTCAGTTAGTTTCACTCATATTTTTGAATAGTTTGTACCTAAGTCTGTATCTAAGTCTGTGCCCTTAAACTTTGTATTATTTACAAAACATGAGTTTTGAAGTTTGTACCTAAGTCTGTGCCCTTAAACAACGTATCACTTCGTTTCCCTTACTAGTGAGCTTTATAAAAAATGGCGTATTTTACATAGACTTCTGCAATTTGCTTTTTTCCACTCAATGTGCTATGTCTAAGTTCCTTCAGCATTCCTGCACATAGCTGTAGTTCATTTTCTTTCACTGAACATAGCAGCTTTGTCAGTTCACTTTGGATTACTTAAATTACCTTAAAGTTGACCAAAATCCTAGAACCAAATAGAAACTTCAAATGATAAAGTATAACACCAGAGACTTCATATTACAGCAAACTCTTTTTCTCTTAAAAAAAAAAAAAAGACTTGCCCGGCTGGCGTGGCTCAGTGGTTGAGCATCGACTATGAACCAGGAGGTGACAGTTTGATTCCTGGTCAGGGCACATGCCTGGGTTGCAGGCTCCATTGCCAATGAGGGACATGCAGAAGGCAGCCAATCGATGATTCTCATCATTAATGTTTCTCTCTCTCTTTCCCTTTCCCTTCCTCTCTGAAATCAATAAAAATATATTTTAAAAAAACACACAAACACTTCTGATAGAGTGTAGCTTAATAGAAAGGAGGACAGACTTTGGAATCAGAAAGTCCTGAATAGAAGTCCAGGCCTGAAATTGAGATGCATCTTATAATTGACACATATATTTACTGTAATACTATTTGGGGACAGTTATTTTGTTTTTATTTTTCCTCAATGTCACATCATTATCTATGGTTTGTCTTATTATCAGTGATTATTAACATCAAGGCAGTCCAGTATTTATGAAATAAGATCTTCTAATACAGAAACCTTTCAAATTTTATATTTTGCATCTGTGAAGATAATTATCACTACAATATGAACCTCTCTAATAGAAGGATTTCCTTTTACCAGTCAGCAAAGATAAAACTTCAAAACATCCCCTTTGGTTTGAACATGAAAAACTAGTTTTTGAAAAACTCTTCATGTAGAAAAAAATCCTTTAAGGAAGAAGATCCTACTTTTAAATGCAGGAAATGGAAGTCACCTTCTTCAGTCCACCTCAGACATTCTAAACACACTCTGCCCACTGTTTTCCACAGAGCAGTTCCTGTACTACAAAGACAATTGGTTTCAAAACACAATGTGCGGAACTTCACCAACTATTACTCACCTAGTCTGCTTCTCTGAATTAGATGCATTGACCTCAAATACTTTCTCGGTGTCCCATTTCTGTTGGATTTCTTTCTCAATCTTCTTCAAGAAGTCCACTTTGGCTGTTCCCTTTCTTTCCTATTAGACACAAAAGAGATAGGATAACCCACTCTGTACTTCAACAGGCTTGCTTTAAAAAAAAAAAAAAGGGTTCACACAGAACTGAGCTGTTTACTGACAGATCAATTTTTCCATGGTTATCTTCAAACTTAAATGAACCAGATAGAAAATTAGGGTTGACACGACCTGTATACCTCAAACGTCAAAGGAGTGGTTAAAGAATTACTCAAAAGGCTTTGAAATACTTTTCAAAAATTAGGTACTGTAACAAAACACTGTTGTCAAATGTTCCTATTCATAAAATACATAAATGCAGGGGTGGGCAAAAGTAGGTTTACAGTTGTTCATATGGAAAATGATACTCTAATTAATAAGTAATAATAAGTGGAGTAGGACACACTTAGGAAATAGGCAGGGTGAAATCTGGATACCAATGGACCATACACAAATCTAGGTCTGTTTTGAAAACTTAATGTATTTTCTGGTATAAAATTATCTGAATTGAAATTAGATTTTCTTCCCCCTCCTACCTGCTAACAATTCCAGATTCTGTAGCATTTTCAAATGAGGAAATACCTGGGTTCTACTCATACTTCTATAGCCCACTAGACAGGTGACCTTGCCAAGCCGCCTGGTCTCCTTTGATGGTGCCCTCCGCCTGTCCCTTCTACCCAACAATTTAAAAAGCACTTCCTATTCATATCACAGATACACCGGATTCTTACAACTGTTTTTCTAAAAAAAAAAAAAAAGTGAAGTATTATACAAAGGAATTCCAGGCAATAAAAAAAGTACCATTATCTCTCCAATAACTATGTTAAGTAGACCTTGTAAACTAGTAGTATTAAAATTAGGTAAGATTCAGTACAAAGATAGCATAAAAAATGTGTCACCTCTATTTTACTATTTTCTTTTTTTTTTCTTTTTTTTTTAAATATATTTTATTGATTTTTTACAGAGAGGAAGGGAGAGGGATAGAGAGTTAGAAACATCGATGAGAGAGAAACATCGATCAGCTGCCTCCTGCACACCCCCTACTGGGGATGTGCCCGCAACCAAGGTACATGCCCTTGACCAGAATCGAACCCGGGACCCTTGAGTCCCCAGGCCGACACTCTATCCATTGAGCCAAACCAGTTAGGGCATATTTTTACTATTTTCAATTTTCTCTATTTTAAATTATTTTTAAGCAAGTGCAAGAGAAGTACAAGCAATAGAAAGATGAAATGTCAGCTTATAAGGAAGAGATAAAATGTGGATTAAAAGAACCCTGTCATGTCCTAGCTGGTTTGACTCAGTGGATACAGCATCGGCCTGTGCACTGAAGGGTCCCTGGTTCAATTCCGGTCAAGGGCACATGCCCAGGTTGCAGACTCAATCCCCAGTAGGGGGCGTGCAGAAGGCAGCCAGTCAATAATTCTCTCTCATCATTGATGTTTATCTCTCTCCCTCTCCCTTCATCTCTGAAATCAGTAAAAATGTATTTTTTTAAAAGAACCCTGTCACAAAGGCAAAGAGGAAATGAGAAAGATTTCCATAATTTGAAAAGTCATGGACATATAACAAGTTTATCTAGGAACCAAAGGAAAATGACATTTTTTGTTTCTATAAATCCTGACCAGATCATAATTGCTGCGACTGGAACCACATCTTATCAACACACAAATCTGACCAAGTCAATCCGACCTTTAGAGGTTCTCTATGCTCTCAGGATAAAGTCCATCCCTACTCTTAAATCTGGCTTTCAAGGCCCTGCTTGCTCATATCTGCCAGGCCTCTCCCACCTCCCCTCTCTCCATGCTTCCATCTTCACAGGCCTATTAAGCCATCTGCATTTTCCCAAATATGCCAAGGTCCCTCTCTCACCCCTAGGCCTGTGTTCAAACTATTCCTCTGCCCTCATACCCTGCCAATCAATCTCTTTGCCTGGCCATGTCAACCCTCTAGGTCTCAGCTAATCGCCTGCCTGGATTCTCCATTGAGAAGTCATTCTGAATATGGTCCTACCCACCAATATTTCCCCTGTGACAGCCCTAATCACATAGCGATGTCAGGATCTGGACATCTTTCCCACAGGACTGTAAGCTTGTTCTTGGTGGGGACTATGTCTTGTTTCTCATTTTATCTTCAATGTCTAGCTTATAGCAGGCTCTCAAATATTTGTTGAATATATAAAGATTTTTAAAGAGAAGCAAATAACACATTGCCTGGTTTTACATAATGTGGACATAAAAAAAAAATAGATGGACGAGGAACTGGGTTGCATATTTGAATCAGGGTGCTAAGCAATTTGGACTCTTTGCCAAGAATTTCCATAAAATACTGTGGTTACAGAAAGTATTTCCTTTTCCAAGAAAAAATAAGGCACTTTCTCATTTCCTGCTACTAAACACCTTCATTTAGACCTCAGATCCTTTTTTGCCCCTTCTTACTGCAAAACCCTCTTAACAAGTAACCTGCCTCCAGTCTCTATTCCAATATATGCTAAACCCTGTCATCAATTCTAATATACAAAAACTACCATTTTAAAATGAGCTATGGCAGACCCTGGCCAGGGCGCTCAGTTGGTTAGAGCATCATTCAGATATGCCAAGGCTGTGGGTTTGATAACCAGTCAGGGCACATACAAAATAAGCGAAATAACAAATTGATCTCTCTCCCTCTCCCTCTCAAATCAATTTTTTTTTAAATATATTTTATTGAGTTTTTACAGAGAAGAAGGGAGAGAGATAGAGAGTTAGAAACATCGATGAGAGAGAAACATCGATCAGCTGCCTCCTGCACACCCACCACTAGGGATGTGCCCGCAACCCAGGTACATGCCCTTGACCGGAATCGAACCTGGGACCCTTCAGTCCGCAGGCCGACGCTCTATCCACTGAGCCAAACCGGTTTCGGCTCAAATCAATTTTTAAAAACATTTTTAAATGAGCTATGGCAGAGAGAGTAGGTAGCCTATGCAATATATGTTCCTTCCCTTTCTCGCTCAGCAACAAAAACCCAGTCTTATGCAGGGTGGTGCAGCAGAAGTGGTTAAGTGTCCTCTGCTGGTTAAATGGTTAAGTGTCCTTTCCAGACAAATTCGAAGTTAGATGGAGCTATGTGACTAGGTTCTGGCAAAAGTGTTTTGGGGAGAAAAAAGTAAGTCACTTCTACCCGGGCCTTAAAACAGCCTGTATAACTAACTCTTAGTAGCCGACTTAACCTGCAGGTAGAGTAGGCGCAGTGCTGAGGGCCCACTTACTTTTAGGGACTCACAAAAATATTTTCTTTTAAAATCAAGAAAAAAATAGCCCCAGCCGGCTTGGCTCAGTGGACAGAGTGTCAGCCTGTGGACTGAAGGGTCTCGGGTTCGATTCTGGTCAAGGGCACATGCCCTGGTTGTGGGCTTGATCCCCGATAGGGGGCGTGCAGGAGGCAGCCAATCAATGATTTTCTCTCATCATTGATATTTCTATCTCTCCCTCTCCCTTCCTCTCTGAAATCAATAAAAATATATTTTAAAAAAATAAACTTTTAGGTTTAAGAAAAAACTTTAATATATAACATTAGTATATTTGTCTTTATGCCAAAATAGTTGTAAAACGTAATTTTAATATTTTTTACAGGGAAAGGAGCCCACAAAGCCGAAAGTATCTAGGGCCTCATGAAGCCTAGCTGTACCTTCTACTCTAGGGGCATGGGTTAGAGGAAATCCCACTGTGTTCTTACTAAATTCCTCTTTACCTTAACCAACTTGAGTTCACTTCCATTGAATGCCACCAAATGATCCTATAGACATTCACCCAGGGAGGCTATGAACTCCTGGCAGGCAGCAACTTTTAGATCTACTTACTCAGCACCAAATACAATGCCACAGACACAGAAGTTACATGACAAATATTTTTTGCTTAAAGATAACTATGAAAGCAATAGTTAGAACTATGTTTCTAAAGAACATGAAAGCAATAGTCCTCACAAAATACTTAGAACTATGTTTCTTTCATGTAGAAAGCATGCTAGGTGCACAAAGCTCTTCTTTGAGGTTTCTGCTTCTCAGAAAAATTTGTTCCTCAATCTCAAAGGTTGATTGTAATGAAATCTGATATTGGCCCCAGCACCAACTTGTATAAACTTGAGGAAGTCACTTGATCAATCCAAACCTCAATTTCTTCACTGGTTATTCCACTAGGCAATTGGTTGTTTTAATTAGTTAAAAGGTTATTTAACTAGATGGATGCTCCTAAACTTTGGCACTATTGATATTTTGGGCAAAATTCTTTGTTCACAGGGGCTGCCCTGTGCACTGTAGGATGTTTATGAGCATCTCTGGCTTCTACCCACTAGATACCAGTAGCACAACCCCCTCAACTGTGACAACCAAGAGTCTCCAGACCAAACGTTTTCTGGGAGATAAAATCACCCCTAGTAAAGAAACACTAAACTAGATAATAAACTTTTTCCTATATTCATATTATTCTGCAGTTCTTAAAACACTTTTATGAACACTGGTTTATTTGATGTTAACAACCTAACAAGTGGGCAGACCAGCGATTACCATTTCAAAGATAATGAATCGAAAGCTCCGATCATCATGCTGGTAAATGGTCTAGTTGGAGTCATCTTCTGACTCCTCTTTTGCTTTCTCTTGGAACCGACCACATCTTAGCTCCACCACTTACTAGCTGTAGAACCCTGGACAAGTTCCTTAATCTTTTTAAGCCTGCATTTCTCTATCTATAAAATAAAGATAATAATTATACCTACCTTGTATTATTATTATGAGAATTAAAAGAGAAAATACACACAAAGGACTTACCATAGTGCTGGACCCATGGCAAATGCTCAAAAATGTTTATTATCACAGACAACTAGACATCATGTACTTTTTATTAGGTTTGAAAAAGGCATTGTGGTTATGTTTTAAGAGAACTTATCATTATGTATTTTTTAAACTTATTAAAATATGTATAAATGAAATGATTCAATGCCTGAAATTAGCTTAAAATCCTGAGGGGGTGAGGGGTGAAGGTGAAAGA